GGGGGTGGATGATTTGAGATAAACGTCGCCTATATTTAATGAGATCTCACCAAGGGAAGGCTGCAATCACCCTGTCGCCGCCGACGCTGCATATCCGGTCGGTGTGGGCGGGCACGGCACGGCCGCAAAGATTGACAATTATACGACTGGAGCTCCGTTTGTTTGTAACAATGGTACAGCCCGGCTTGTCGCGGGGCTGCTCACGATGCAGTCGACTGCACCCCCGATGCACTTTGAAGCCAAACATGTCGCCGTGTTGTAAGGAGAATTCATTGTTTTGGCCGCCTTGGAGTCAATTCTGACAATTCCACGTCTCTTTGCAGAAACGAATTGGGCCACCGACTAATCCACACTCGGGGCACTAAATCCACACTGGTGCGCGTGGCGAAGTATGGTCCAACAACACTCATGACATTGAGAGGCCAGCAGTGAATGGAATTATTATTACTGTATTATTAAAGTACCGCATTAGTATCATTATCGGGATGTATTTTTAAACATTCGCCCTTTATAAATGGCAGTGAACGGTTCCTATATTTTGTACACTCAGTATTAACTTTCAATATTTAACTCGGACTTCTATCCGTATCGGCCAGGGGTCGGCAACCAAAATAACAAGATGAGCCACTTTTTGTTCGAATTCGGTAAAAAAAAACCCCCGTAATGTTTCAAGAAACACAATGCACGTGGTAAATGCGAGAAGGTGGGTCCTTAATAAATAACGTCGCAAGTCCTTACAGAGCTACAGGTTGCCGACCCCTGATATAGGCAAAAAAAAACCTTTGAAGCTTGTCCGTACCAACTTTCGCTTAAATATCAAGCGAAACAAACGTGCGGCTGTAATTAATTCTATTAGCCACAGGCAGCATCAAGGATATATCCCGCGCCCACTCCTCCCACCGTCACCACATGCTGCACCTCAAGTGTTGCATAGACACAAATCATTAATTAGCTCTCGCCGATCGCAACCGGTCTCGGGCACCGGTCGCCGGGCGAGTTTGTGCATTCATCGTCGTGTTTGTGTGTTGAGAATGACAAAGGCAGGGACCCCAAGGATTAGGCCGATTCGAGTGTGGGGGGGGGGGGAGAGATCTTTCTCTTGCTCGGCTTCGCTGATAACGCTCGTGGGTGCACAGAGCGACCGGCATAATGAGGACACCCACACGCAGCGTTTTGCCCAGCGCGCACGTGCAATGCACGCGGCACATGAATAATGACAGATCATGCGGACAGCATTGCGCGTAAACACGGTGTGCACGCCAGCTCATCTTCAACAACAACATCATCATCATCGTAATCATCATCATCTACATCATTGTACAGGGTGGTCCAGATATCGCAGTGATCCCCTGTAAATTATCTTAAACGTCATATTGTTTAAAGTAAGGTTTCTTTTAAGAATAAATGAATATGCAAAGGAAAACAATGTTAGGGGTAAATTAAGTGGGGGTTACAAGATGTCTGGACCACACTGTCCAGATGGGATGCAGCTGTGGTTTAATCGGTGAGCACACTGGTTTGCAATCTAGAGAAACCGCCGGTTATATCCTATCTGCCAGCATGGCAGTGAAAACAATTGGCAGGTACCTAGAATCATACTCTTTGGTTCTTTCGGTAAAGTCACGTAGATGAAAACAATTAAAATGAAAATAACTAAATTCATTTGATAATTTTTATTATTATTTTTATTTTTCATCTACGTGACTTTACCGAAAGAACCAAAGAGTATGGATCCTTGCAGTCACGAAAACTTCAAACCTTGAATCATCCCCGCCTCTGTCCACCGAGTACTATAAATGGGCACCACCACAGTTAGTCGACCTGCGGTTAAAGTGTGGGGACTACGACCTCTTCCAAGACATCTGGCCTGCCAGGAAGCGTCGGCAAAAATAACCCCTAGCGAAGAATCTTCCAGCGTGAACAAGACTTTGCAGGGCTGCATCTTTATCCTATTGTACAGCAGCATCATGGATACGCGGCGTGGCCAGATATGGCGCTGCTGAGTGATGGGTACCCCCTCGTTGCGCGTGGATTTTCTCCAGGCACTTCGGTTTTCTTCCACCAGTCAAGCACACAATCGAATTGGCCACAGATCTCATCGTAGCAGGAACTTCCTGACAAAAACAAAGCGTCTTGGGACTCAGTGTTTCTCGCCTGGGTCAAACGTTTGCATTGTGTTAAACTTGTATTAAACATGCATCGCGTTACAATAGAATACACACAGGGGTGGGGGGGGGGGGGGTCTGGATGAAGGCTTCGTTGTGCTTGAAAACTCTTCGTCCCAGGTTCCGTTTAACCGCAGAGCATGACAAACTCCCGACGTGCGCACCACTGATGAATGCCAAGTCCCGTTGATCCGTCACGAGGAACACACCATGGCCCCTTGTTTTGTTTTGTCTTCACCTATCGCTCATGGCCTTGCTGGCGGCGATGATGATTACGGTGTAAACACGCGTGTCACGCGATAATAGCTGGATGACTTGAGCCTGCAGCGCAAGCGTGTTGGGAATATGCCTGAGGACTAACCCTCCTTACAATCAGGTCTTTTAATTACAATTTTTAATTGCGATGATTCATATTGCAAAAACGTTAGCCCCCGCCATGGTGCCTATGCGCGCCTGTGACCCCCCCACCGTGGAGGCGAGGGTTGATGGACCGCACAAACGTCGCGACACCTCGTTGCCGTGGCCGTCGAGGTTCACCGCACCTATAATCGGACTTGCCAAGGAAAATTCTGTGCCGCAAAATGTGACCTCAAACTTTTCTACTTTATCTGTATGGGATAGGGTGTTGCCCCCCACCCCTCCCCCCTCCTATGCGTGGGGTATCTCTGGGTGCTGTAGTTTCCTTCCACGTTAACGGAGTTGGCCAAAGCATATCTATGTAGGGCCACAGAACTTGGGCCAATTGTTGGCGCCGGTTCTGGCCGCCTTCACGATTGCCTGTGGTTGCGCGTGTCTCTGAATCTACGAAAACTTGTGCAGCGAGTTAAACATTTGAAACTTTAACTTTTTTATTTATTTAACGAGCTTCACTGCGCAGTTTCTGCAGTCCGAGAAAGTCGCAATTATTGTAAGGAGCCCGGCACATTCCCTCATTGTACTAAGTAGCATTGCCGCATCAGCCTTGCGTATCGCTGTTGATTAGACAATAAACACACTCGTGCTTCTTCGCTTATCCTTCAAAATACCCGGTGTTTAATGATGAAAGGGTGAGGTTGAGAACACATAATGTTCAGAGAGCAGTCCATTTATCTTCGTCGTTGCGAAGTAATGTACCTGGGTCATGCAGATGGCAGTGAGCCTGGTGAGTGCCGTCAAAGCCTCCAGCACCTGCGGCTGCTGGACAGCGACTTAATGAAAGAGCTCGCCTTTTGACGGTAATTGCATCTCGGTGAACTTACCCGTATGGAATCGGATTACACGCCAACATAGCCATTTAAAATCCTGCTACAGGTTGTCAAATTCAACCCTTAGCGCTCACGTTTCATCTATTTTTAGTTGAATTCATCCATTGCACTATTGTTATCATTGGTATTGGCGCCCCCCAACCACAGGCTGCAGCATCCCCGAACAACCACATCGTGCGGCGGCCCCCAACAGACTGGTCAAGTAAATCCTTACGATCCACTCGCACAGCGTGCGGTGGGCCTTCATCCAGCAGTGGATTTAAGCACCAAAAAAACTCTAGTACTAATGTAATGGACAGAGCGCGGCTCTCCCTCAGGGCAGCAGTGGACAGAGCACGGCTCTCCCTCAGGGCAGCAACGGAGAGCACGGGGGTCCCTCAGGGCAGCAGTGGACGGAGCACGGCTCAGCCTCACTCTCACTCACCCGTCTCTTCTGAGCTGCATGCGATTGTGTGTGAGTGAGTGTGAGTGAGCTGTGTGTATGAGTGAGTGTGAGTGAGCTGAGTGTGAGTGAGCTGTGTGTATGAGTGAGAGTGAGTGAGTAAGTGTGAGTGAGCCGTGTGTATGAGTGAGCTGTGTGAGTGAGTGTGAGTGAGCTGTGTGTATGAGTGAGCCGTGTGTGAGTGGATCGACCGTCAGCTTTCCGTGGCTGCGTCTCCGGCGATGTGGCCGTGATGTTGCGGATTCTCGGGCCTCCGAGGTGTGGGGCACACCACAACACGAAGTGGACAGCTCGCAGTCACGTGATGCACTTCAACCAATCCGGGGGCGTTAATCACAGTCACAGAATGACAGAAGGACAGATCTGGGCTATTATATATGTGTATTTGGAGTCGAGTCCATGACACGAATACGTTTTCTATTCGGAGTTTTTGTGTAGGAAGGTCTCTAAAACATGATGTCATAGAACTACTTATAAGTTCACATCCATAAGTTTATTTTTTCCACAATAGACGATTCATATATTAAATGTCTTACTTTTAGGTTTTTTCGGTAAAGTCACGTAGGTAAAAAATAAATAATAAAAATAATAGAAATAATAAGAGAAATTAAAGAATAAATCACGACGTTTCAGAGGCAACCCAAGTCTCCGTCATCAGTTGGAACCGTCACAGCTAAATTTACTGTATCAATGTTTTTCGCACGGCAATTATACATTGTAATGCTCAAAATTGCTTTTAATAAACCAAATTCAACGTTTTTCTTGCAGTCATTGGAACTGCTTTTAGTGTTTATTGTCCTCTCCCACTCCCCCACCCTCCGTTTAGCACGGCTGGCTATGCACGGTGCGAAATTCAACATACACACGTACCCATCATCAACACGCTACATTTAAGACGCCAGTACCCAAATCCGAATTCTGGGTCTCAGCAATGCCGACTCATCGCTCTGACCACCTCTCACCACCTCTCCCAATGGAAACGTGTTTAAGTACAGCACACATGTTACGACCGTTATATGTATTGGACGTTCATGAAAACAAGTAATGTTATATCAGTGTAGTTAAACGTAAAAACATTTTTTTTTACAATTTTAAAAATGTTAACAAATTTTATAACATAAAATTCCGAGCAACAATTGTACATCTTACCTTCCAGAGTTTTTTTGCATTGCTCGCAGGTGAAACGAGGTGCCCAGGGTTTGTCTTGATCCCCGACAGGCATGCCGAAATACGCCTTGTAGGTCTCACACATCTTAGCAGATGCTTCCACAGGGTACATTTTCGCTCTTGTCTTGATAAATTGGCCGCAGACATAGCAAAATGCGTCTGCCGGATGCTTGCAGCCTCTTGATGCCATCTCAGAAAAATGCAGATATGTATCCACTTAGGCAGCTGGGGAACTAAACTGAACTCGTGGGCTTAAGACACCTGTATTTATACTACTATTTATATTACGGTAAAGTTCTAGAATGTTCTGGAAGTTACTCCAAGTTTACTCAGCACTGAATCTATCTGGAATGTTCTGGAAAATAGGTAAATTTCAAAATATCACTGTCCTGGCCACAAAAGCAAAGTTTGTGGGGAATAATAGCCATTTTCTGTACTTTTGAGGCATAAGCAATTCGGAAATAACACTGACTACCCAGGAACAAATAAAATAATATACAGTTATTATTCTGATCCTGATGTGACATTCTCCAAATCGACCACGTGGCGGCAATGTTTTCTATCTTTAGTGACGTTAAAGCCCATAAGCAAACTATCGCGCTTTGCACGTCAGGGGGCAGCCTTGCATCATTAATGCGAGCGGATGAAATGAGATGTGCTCAAGTGATATGCTGCAGGTAAGAACGTTGTCTTTATCGACCCAGGAAAGCCTCACGAGTCTCAAGACACCTTTTCATGATGCTGTTGCACTGGGATGTTTGGTCAATGCCATTAATACGTTTTTGGAATGTGAGAGGTAATCATAATACGTAGCCGAAGCAATCCCAGGTGTATGATCCAGGGGGTACACGGACAACATTTCGTACAGATGCATTTATGAGTTTATCGTTGCCCTGTTCATCTCCTGGTCACCTCGCAATGACGAATTGTCCCAGGGCAGACTCTCATACAAGTGCTACACTCACCCGGCCCAAGCCCTGCGGAGCTTCCAAGTATCAGACGGAATGGAGGGGCGCGTTCAGGGTTGGTTTGATCGTGGGTGAAACATAAATAAGAACTTCGGGGATCCTGCGGACGGCACGTCATCGGATTCCGCAACTGTGGGGGGAGACAGATGTCTGTATTACGCTTTCAACGAAGATGAATGGTCTCATGCATTATCTCCGCCCGTCTGTCTATAAACAGGAATTCTCGAAAAGATTATCCAATAGCAATAAGAAAAAGGCCAAATTCATCCAAGGCTACTTAAACTAAACTTTTTATTATTATTTTATTTGACCAGGTAATGTTTACTGAGCTATACAGCCCTTTTTCAGAAGCGGCCTGGCGATCACAAATGATAACTCAACGAAGTGGCTTATCGTGTGGAAATGTATAGCAGCCAAATACTCTAAATGCGTGTTTATTGTAAATGTGGAAGGAAAAACCGGAGGAGCCGAACAAAAATCCACGCGACCACGGGGAGAGAGACACGCAAACTCCAAATATACAGTCAGCGTCGGGATCGAACCCACGACCTCCTGCATATCTGGCGAGATAGCTAACATCTCGCCACCTTGGTGAGACGTTAACTACCTCGAACTGAGCGCCTAGCGCTAGAACTACCATCATAATTCTGAACGAATCGACCACTTTGGACAAACCTCATGCTGGAAAGCATTCAAGAAAACCATGCATACGCACGTTTTTTTCTCCCTTTGTTTGTTTCCCGAGTTAACAACTTCATGGCATGCGCATGTAGTGTGGAGGGGCGATGTGTAAATGTTTGACTGAGTTAATCCAGGTTTGACGAGCGGTAAGACTGCATAGGCGAGGAGGCGAGGGAGACGTAGAAATGCTAACACATCCAGGGTGAATGTATAGCAAATAGCATGCCAAATCATAACTCCGAGACATATAATAAAAACAATTGTAAACACTGTATATCAGCGCATATGACTTCCAGAGACGATCGTACATTCTAAAGATGTTCAAAAAAGCCTCGAAAGTCGAAAATTGGCAACAATATAAAAATCGTAAAACCAACATTTTTACAACGTGGGCCACTCAAAACGACTCGCTTTTTTCTATTTGAACGGCTCAGACTGAAGTTTTACATTGCTCTCATTCTCGTGTTGTGTTACGCGACCTCCATCAGTGAATACAGAGTCATTTGCTCCCCGTGGAGTGTGAGGCTCAAGTCAGTATGAAGGGGGCGATATTCCACCCCCCACCATCTCCCCAATCGGTGAGCAGCATTATATAATCCACTGCACATCCATGGAAAAATCTATTGGAGTAATTAGGGGGGGACCCTTACGCACGTGAGTTCACTGTTTCCACGAAGCGTTCCAAATGCTTGAGCGGTGTCAGTCCTGGACGTGAGCTGTAACAACACAAACACAGGAGGCACGGAGATCTCGTTCCCCCCCATTCGTTTTCCTTCGATAACCAGACCGCACTCCCTCATGTTCACCCAGACGACAAGAAATCACCGGTTTCTTGTCTGACAGACTGTTGGGGCAAGTGTTGTTAGCGAGCACCTATTAAGGGCGGCACGGCACGCGTAACGGTGGGTGGTGTCGTCAGCAGACTCGGCACCCACGCCAGGACGCCTTTGTCTCCCCCAAGTGCCAGTGTGGGGAGACATCACGCCCAGACCTGGGGGGAGCTCTAGGATGAGCCACGATCACCACCACTCGCCACTGATGGTGTCCGTGGGCCGAGGGAAGGGGGTTTGAGAAATGTGACGTCACGTAAAAATGCGCAACTTTAAATAAATATGGACAACGCGTTCTACTTAATTAAATTGACGTTTTAATGCATGTTTTCTCCTACAACATCAGAGTGCAGCGCCACATTAAATACGCACTACAATGACAATATTTTAAAGAGATTTGAAGCATGTTTTATTTTAAAAATTGAAATATGGTTGGGGGGGGGGGGCAGAGCTTTGTGACGTCATATTTGAGGAGGGTCTGACTTTTTGTGACGCCGTGTGACGATGGGGGGGGGGGGGGTCAAAAATCGTCCAAAATCGCGTGACGTCATTTATGGACGCCCCCTTAACATCAGGCGTATTTTGTTTTAACTCAAGAGGCCGGGCGAGTGTCGTTTGCTAGAGTGAAGTTGGTCTCCAAAATGACAAAAAACAAAGAAACACAAACGCAAAGTTGAGCAACGGAGTAAAGCAATCGGATACCAAAACAACCCACCGTGTCACACGGGGAATGGAAAATCGAGCAAAAAAGATTGCAACGTTATAAATCAAAGCTCAATATCACCACATTCCCTGCAGCGCAACACTGAATGTGAAATTCCGACATTCGCTGCTAATCTGGAGTCGAACGGAGTCCGTCTGGTCCGTGGCGCAGTGTTCACCCTAACACGCGCAGATACAAAAACAAAGATCCCCCGTATAGCCTCCACAGACAGTCGAGGCAAGTGCTGCTTGCGAGCAGTGCGCACGAGGGGGCGGTATGGTCAGAACGACACCCAGCCACCTTTGTCTTCCGAGTGGATGATGACTTCACACCGCACCAGATACTTATTTAAGACTGAGTCAACCTAGGGGGGAGACGCAACATCGGTTCAGACATTCCTCACTCGCGTTGGTCGTGGCCGGAAAGCGATCCCGAGTCTCGAGAGACGTGGCGCAGTGTGCGCTGACCACTGCACCACCGCTCCTCAATATAACATAACAAGGACAAAGATTTCCACCTTAGAGCCTTGAACTGACTATTGTGCCAAGTGCTGTTAGCGAGCACCTATGAAGGCCGGCACGGCATACAAGGAGGTTGGGTTTCCAACACCACGCCAGGTCCGCCTTTGTCTCCCAGTACCGATGTTTACACAGCACAACAGGTACTCATTTAAAGCCGAGTCGACCTAGGGGAGGGCCCAGAACTGGTTCTGCTATTCGCCGCTGTTATTGGCCGTGAGCGCGAATCGAACTCAAGGCGCCGGAGTTCATAGCGCAGTGCGCTAACCACCGCGCCACCGCTCACCACATTCAATAAAACTCACACACACACACCACCCCCATGCACACAACAGCTCCTGACGTTCGCGTGTGTGAATTCATTTGCCCCACTCCTCCAATCACCCCCAGGGAGCCAGCGAGCCGGGGTTGCAGAGAGAGCGACACTCCCACGCTGCTCCCCCTCCCTCCACGACTGCGAGCCCGTGAGTGTGTGCGTGTGTGTGAGCGAGTGGGTGAGTAGGGGGAGGTGGCCGAGGCTGTCTCTCTGTGTGTGTGCAGCTCGTATGACCAACTCCCCTACCCCCACTTTTTTTTACCCGAGCGTAGCACACAAGGCACACACCACCACCGCAACTAAACCACCGCCCCTCGCCTCCAACCCAACCCCCTTTGTGTGCGTGTGTGCTAGAGAGAAGAGGAGGGGAGAGAGAGAGAGGAGCTGAGCAGCGCCTACACTATCGACTGTAACCGCAGTTTAGCGGAACGGGAGCAAACGCAGCGGAGAGAGAAAGAGGGAGGGGAGGAGGAGGAGGAGACGCAAGCAAAGTCATCATCATCATCAGTGCCATTTCGCTCTCTGCTGCTCCAACAGCACAGGCGCATTCCGCCCGAGACGAATAAGCAGCAGCAGCAGCAGTTGGGACGGGAACAGCCGTGTGCGGTGAAAGTTGAAGTCAATTTTGGTCCTTCAAAGCCCTCCGGTGAGTTTTGTTTTAGACTCTTTTGGTGAGCGAGTTACATTTTTTGGGTGGATATTATGATTAGCCAAAAATGTGTGTGTGTGTGTGATGAATCTTGCGGTCTTACGAACTCCAGTTAAAGAGAAAACCCGTATTGAGCTGCGAAGCCATTGTATGGTTGTGTCATCTCAAAAAGTTACTGTGCGAGTTGTGGCTTTAACTTTACGCAGAGTTAAATGGACAAGTGCCCCGTTCGGAGTCGATAGCAATTGTTGCGCGCGGGTGCTTGGCGGATTGGATCGGCCACCTGAAACTTTTTTTTTTCCTTTCGGCGTAACATCATTGTTGTGCCCTGCAAAGAGGTGCGCCTCGGTTGTGATGTTTCTCAGCTCCCGAGGGTGGCTTTTCCGATCCGCCGTGATGATTGCTGGTGGCTTTGACGCACAACGGCTGCAGGGCCGAGGCCCCTGCAGCCATTTCGTGCAGTGCGGGGTTGTGTGCGTGCGTTTGGAGCAGAGAGCGAGCGAAAGAAGAGCCGAGTGGAGTTGCGATGTTTTCGGACGGAAAGGAAATAATGGAACACGGTTGATAAAATAATATTTGCACAAGGTCCTCTCTCCCCTCCCAATCGCACGTTTACCTTTGTGTGAATAGGTGTGTGTGTGTGTGTCTTGGGATAGTGCACGGTTTGCACGTGCTATCGGAATAATCCAGCGACTGCTTTCGCTGCATGTGTCTTTCCCAAACGCTGGGACGCACCAAAGAGTGGGTTGCCTCGAACGTAGCCACGTGTACACATTCTGGCCCAAACACATGCCCGGCAGAGGAAGGATGTGCGGGGGGGGGGGGATTAAACGCCCATTGTGGCATAAAAATGGAGCTTGCCAAAAACCTTCTACCTAATTAACTGAACACAAAAACTCCGTTTGCAAGAAGGGGGAGGTTGGTTGGGGAGGGGGGTGCTACTTAGAGTTGTGTAGGTGAATTGTGAATGGCAGGATGGTTTCTTGGTATTCTCTACTTTTACATACACGTGCATACGTAGCTAACACGCGTGCGTGAGTGTGTGTGTGTGGTTGATTTAGCTCGGTCAGGAACAAGGTGGTGCTGTACTCAAAACATCCTTTGAGCAACAACGTTTGACCCATGGTGGTTCGGAGTTTTAGCGGCAGTGTCGTTTTCCCACGGATAAATCGCGTTTCGAGCGAAGCATGTGAATGTGGTGGTGTGTGTGGTTGTTGTTAAACAATCTTCGCAGTTTCTGCCTCTGCTTGTGTTGTGTAACGGAGCCCTGCTGTTTTTTTTTTTTCGAATTTGGAAAAGATTCGCGAATTAACGCTTTGATTTGGCTGGTAAGTCGGAGTGTGTGCTCATTAATTGCGTGTATTCTTTTAGTTTGTCCTTCTCCCGCTCCTCCGATAAGCACAGTTGGCTACGTACGGTGCGAAATAAGTTCAACATACGTACCCACATGCCTTGTTATACAACACTGTACATAATGTTGCACACTTTATTGACAAAACGTTCTTTGGCATTGAGGGGGCTTCCTTGTGTTTGTTATTGTTTTGTATGCGGTCAATATTCTATTGTTAGACAAAAGAACCCTGCCCGACTGAGCAAAACATTCTGTGAAGGGAGATGAATGATTTTAGAGGAAGTCGAGTCCACTCTAGACATTACTTTACCGTTATCCAAATCGAATGCCAGTGTAGCGAAGAGAGGAATCTGTCGAGATGTGAATTTGTACCCAAGCTGCCTTGCAGAGACCATCTAACCACAATGAATAACCCATGCGATTCACCTTGACGCATGTAACACGCATCTAACAAGAACAATGGGCAGCCTTGGACGGAGCAGCGTGACAACAGCACGTGACATTATTGATACTGATTTAAAGCTTTCGTGACTGCAGGGATTCATATTCTTGGTTCTTTCGGTAAAGTCACGTAGAAGGGAAATAGTTTTATTCTATTTTATTATTTCCCTTCTACGTGTCTTTACCGAAAGAACGAATAATATTATTAATAATATTCAGTGTGCCTCTCACACAGACCTGCACTATACTCTACAGCATGAGTTTACTGAGCGTCTTAAACAAGCGACTGCATCTCAACACTCTGTGCAGAAACACTACGCGTTAATTTCACGGTGATGAAGAGGCAGTCGGTCCATAGGCAGCGAGGGGTGGGGGGTGGGCAACCAACTCTGAACCTGAACTTGAACATGGGCAAAGGAGTTTTTTGACAGCGACGCATGACCGCAGCCGACGTGATTACTTCAGAGCAATCGCGAAACATCGGGGACCGATCGACGTTGTTGAGTGTAACTCGTTCTGCCCCCTTCCCTTTTGCAACAGCATCAGCAATGACGCAGCCAGCGATTGAGGGCATACGCATGCCGGACGGGCACTATGCCGACGGGACGTGGGAACTGCGCATCCTGGTCACGGACCTGCAGCAGGAGGTGATGATGCGCGTCACCGGGGAGCTGCACATTGGCGGAGTGATGCTGCGGCTGGTGGAGCGTCTGGGTACGTCGTCGTCGTCGTGGTGCAAGTCGGCCGTCATTGCCCCGTGTTTGGGGTTAGGGATGGGCTATTTGAATGTTTAAGCAATCGGTTGCCTATAGCGATTATGATCGGTTCGATTCGACGACTCATCGGATGACATGGAAATACAGTAGTTGGTGGGTGGGGGTGTAAATCACCTCTGTACCCATGTGTGTCGCTGGACGGGAGGTGATGGGCGGGGCTTGGTGACATCATGTGTATCCCCTCCCACCCAGTCAGACTTGATTTGGCTTGGAGGGGTGGCTGCCATTTTTCAAGGAGCCAGAGCAATCGACTCCAAAATAAACATCTGATGATTATTTTTCGTCCACTAGTTGGGTTTATTGACTCATCATCCCCGGTTTAGTTTATTATTTGTGTTTGGAGCTCGAGTTCGGCAGTCACGAGTGTCCGTTAGTTTGCTACGTGTCCATTAAGAAGTATGAGAAATAAATGCTTATTCGATTCAACATTTATTCACTTTAGTTAAGTGACTTTCAGTTTTCCAAAACAAAATTGCGTCTCTAACAGCCACAATTGACGTAGTTCTATGCTGTGTTTTAGACAGTTTATTTTATTACAGAAGTTCCATTTGTGGAATTTGTCATTCGTTGCTTATTTTGACTTAAAATGTATTCATTGCGTTCGAAATGCATTTTTGTCACAATATATAAAGACCGCTTATATTCTTGTCCTGTTCACGGGTTTGCTCACGTTATGGAAGGACGTACACACTTGTATCAATCATTGATTTTCTAATATTTTTTAAATTGATAAAACAGCACTTATTCGAGCAAAGAAGTTAATTATAAACCCAGTAAGTAAATTATATTAGTATTAGTCCTTGATGCATGCGAGTGGCTTGTGCCATGGCTCACTATTTTAGGCTGAGTATCTCCAAAGGAGGTTCTCACTTTAGTCATAGGACAATAACCCCAAGCTTAATAATTTCAGCAGTATGGATGATTAAAGATTACTGCCGAGACACACACGAAGTGCTCAATTAACGTGTTGGCAGAAAGGCAAGGCCCACCAAATTTCCAGTGTAATTATAACCAAATTAGCAGAAAAATAGTGGCAATTTGGCCATTTATCTGCCAGTTTTTGGTGGAAACATCCTTCGTACCAACACATGACCCAAGCACTGAGTGTCTATGCCAGACACATCAAGGATGCTTCTGAGAAATATCATTATAATAACGTGAAAGCATAACCTGGGTCCCTCCCCGCATAACAGGAATGTTGCCGTGGTGGTGCACCTACAGTGAACTGTTCCCATGTTTGAGACCGACAATGTTGATGTCACCCTCCAGCGACCGTAATTTCAACATCTCAGCTGCCACTTACATCTCGCGTCGTCGCGTTCTAACGGTGACGTTTTTTGTCGCGATTTGTCGACGCTGTAAAAGCAGCGCATTGGCACATCTCCACCGTGGGTCTGCGCCACGTTCGCCCGTCGGAGCGATGCGCAGAGCACGTGACGCACACGGTTCATTTGTCAATCCGAGCTGAAGGTCACACAGTGGCCGCTCGGTGCTAGCAGGTAGTGTGCAATTGTCTGTGACATTAGTAGCCACATCCATGCTCGGTCACCGGGTTATAAGCCCAAGACGTGTTTGTGGTCGTGTCTGCAGAGTGCACATTGTTTTGCGGTTGATGCTATCGTTCCATTCATTCATTCATTCTTTGTTCATGCTCAAGGTTTGTCGGCGTGCAATGTTCTTGAGGGCCATTAGCAAGCTGCTTTCAGGGGCCAGGAGACACCAATGGAACCTTGAGCATCTTGTGTTTATACGCCATACTAGAATTAATTAATAATGCGCTCTAAAGTTCTGCTCGCTCAATGTGTAGAGGTTCATTTCGTGACACTGCATTTGGCAATGTACAAGGGATGATGCCCTTTAAACATGTCTCGCTATTATAGTTACGCTTTGATCATCAACGCCGGAGGTACATGTCCTCCAGCATGCATGTAGCGGTGCTGCTTCATGATTCAATTCAAGAATGGATAAAAAAAACTGTTGGGCATTTCTTTTTGAATCTTCTTTGTATGGTTTTGAAAAAAAATCCTCTCTCATTTGTGTGCTTTAGTTTGCTTTATTAGCCTGAGCGTAATTTGAGCTTAATCATGTTTCACATAATTCGCATACATCTTAAATAACGGATTCCCGTGTGCACGAGTCGATCGATGAGTGTTTCGTAAGCGTGAAAAATTTATTCCCGATCGATGAATCAATGCGTCGTCACAGGCCTGGACAACAATTCGCGCACACCTGACGCTTCCCTGACCAACGCTGCGGCAGCTGGCTCGCTCGGACAGACACGAAACATTCCCATGCCGATCCCGCTCGTACGGCCTGCCCCGTGCGAGTGCCACGAATGTCTTGTGGGAGATAGCCGCGCGGCATGCCTGATATGTCACTCCTAGTGTTGCGTGTTTCGCATTCTGCCAGCGCTTGCAAGGCTGTGTGGGCCCCGTGTTACAGGGGACACAATGGAAACATTCTACTGCTCTCGAGCCGTTTATAAAAGTGGCTTGAAAAAGATATTTTTTTTGGGGCGGGAACTGTGGGCGAGAGTGGCGCTCGCCCGGGAACAGTGGAACGGCTGTTGCGGGAGCCGGTGTGGGCTGCTGTAAACATCTGTGGCATGCGTCGCATGCGTTATGCAATTGATTGCCGGTGATGGGCGCACGATTTTTGGAACAAGTGTCACTTGTGTGGCCGCAGTTTTGAAAATTAAGCACCATAAATTGCAATTTTTCCAACCCCCACTCACTCTTTAACGGTAATGTGTTTAAACTGGTATAGGTTAATCAAATAAGTTAAAGCGTCATAAAAACAAACATGGAAAAGGTTACATTGTAAAAAAAAAAGTAAGGCCCTCAGCCGTTAATACGTGACCTCGAATGGCTCTGACTGCACAAAGTGTTTAATGCGCTGTAGCGTACCACTGTACAGTACTATACTTGCTCTCAGCACTGTGGGGCAGATGTGGTGAGTTTCACTCTCATCAGTTACGAGTATTAGTGGAACAGAGTAAAGATTGCAGCCAGCGAACGTGGGCTTCTACTGTAATGCCTATGTTAAGCCCGTTTCCTTTGAACGCCATTGTGGCAAAGCTTTTACACAAATGAAACCGGCCCACATACCGTGGTGAAACTGAATTGCCAAGGTAAACGTTGCCACTTTTTCCTTTCACCTACGGTGGAGCCATGACGCAAAACAAGCGTGCCTTTGTCGAAAACAAAAACGTCCGCGATAAATGGACGGAGAGCTTTAAGCGTTCACGATGTTTCCCGTTTGACCGAATGACAGCGCTCGCTTGGGACCTGCGTGACGCCGCTTTGTGCCGTGGTTTTGGTGTTTGCCCGAGTTCCTGCGACGAGGCTGGTATTGGCGACACGCTTGATGATGGGAGCGTCGTCGTCATTGCCGTCGTTGCTAAAAACTAAATTCTTGTGTTCCGCGAGTCGCCGATTGGCAAGTCGCGTGTTTTAAGTCGAAGCTTGATGGTGGGGCCTTAGTTGTGATACAGACCAGTCGAGTTTAATTCAGTCCCTAATCGACCGATGTTATAAATCGTAATATGATGTCATTGCACAAAAGTCATGCTGCTATTCCGTACCACACGAAACATCATTTACTGGGTGTCTTAGTTCACATTTTTTTATACACCTAAGTGACTTGTATTCAAATGTAGGTTACATGGAAAATTGGTATGATGGAAGTTTTTTCCACTACATATTTTCAAAATTTCTCACTAAATATTTGTTTTGGGTCACTGTTAAGCTGGAGTAGGCATGTGACACTGTCAGCCACAGTTACAGCGATGGTTATGATGGACATGGTGTGCAGGGTGCGGAAATATTTTCCTGATTGCCAACCCAAACAGCATAAAACGGTGCATTTCCTTTATGTTTTGTCAATGAAATGCATTTAGTTTTAAGGCAAATGAAGCTGCACATGATAAATTCCGTTCAATCAAAGATCGTTCTAATTGGGGTCCATAATCTGCAAAAAAAAACCAAGCACACGATTCCATTGCAGAGCACAGAACCAAAACCGCCAAGCAGCTAGAAACAACCAGCACTTTTAAACGTGCAAAATCTAAAAGTTAACAATATTTCTTACATTGGACAAGGTTGTAAGAGCTTGACGTTGATGTAAATGGTAACCATGGCAGCAGCGATAGAAGAGTGATCAGGGGGCGACTGACAACCGGTGAGCGGCGATCGACCAGAGTGATGTCAGTGAGGTGCTGGATCATCGATGAGAACCCCACTGCTTTCATCAGTCGGGTTCATTGGGTCACTTCTCCTCCTGAGGCTGGACAAAGCGGTGATCACACAGGCTGCCGCGGAAGTTTGTTCGTGGCATCGTCACCGCTAATGGAAAGGCGGATGACGATCACCTTTCTCCGAAGCCTTTTTGGAACGCCCAGAGATCGTCAAAGAATTCTCACCGATGCCTTCGCCCCCTATCAGGTTCTCGTTTCTTCACAAGTTCCTTGCCATGTGACTGCCACGCAACTGAACAAATGACCTATTCATACGCCGAAGGACCTTTACAGTACAGTAATTCTTTTCAAGTTTAAAAATGTGTTGCATCTGCGTTCAACTTGGGGGAACTCGGGGAAGGTTTGAAGAGGCCGCGGGGTTCTGTAAAAACAACTCTTTGATGGTCATTGATGTCAGATGGCAGGGTCCTGGCCCGCTATTCTGGCTAGCAAGGAAACTGTTTCTCCAGTCCTTGGCGTCACACCGTGTAAACTAATTAATCTTCTTTGTGCGCGACGAGAAGAGGAGATGTGGTCCGTGCGTTTCTCCGATCGTTGGCGTCCTGCGCGGCTTTCCGCTCACTAAACACACAACTGTACACACTGTACAGTGTTGAGGTATATGTTTGCTACGAGTTTTTTTTTTATTTTTCATGCAGTTAATTTCAAATTGAGTTATTCTAAATGACTTCACCAATCTGCACTGACCTGTGTGGTGAAGTATGGCCAAATAAACCCCCATGACCCACCCGGGTCTTGAGGAGGCTCTCATCCAGCAGGGCTGTACAGCACATTCTGAAGACTTAATAATGTTTCTAATTTGGCTACGTAACTTAATGTCTCATCAATAAAAGTTAATCCAGTATATAATTGCAAAAAACTGTTTGGTAACAAATGGACACTTTTGAACGCATTCAAACTTCTCTAATCGGCTCATGGGAGCTGCTCTTGGCCGAAACAATTATTTCCGTTGATCCACGCTCTTCCCACCAACTTTTATCTGCATGAAGATGCGGCGGAAAGAGAAATAATATGATGGGTTGGTACTCTTATCTGCGGGGTTAGTGCTGATATAATTTGTGTGGCTAGAGTCAAAGGAAAGAGTTTTCACCGAATACTCAGAAAAGCTGAAAGAAAGTCGACGAGAATGGCTGAAGAGAGGAAAATGGCATCGCAGGGACGACGCTGAACCATGGAAGCACCAGGGCCGAGACCAAGGAGGCAGGCCTAGGAAAGGCTGTGTTTACCCTTTCCTGTTACAAGACGTCTGCAAGTTGCAGGGTGGGTGTCCCACTCACCGCTGAATCTCGGAACGTGCAAGCAGTTCGCGTTAATTTTTGTTTTGAGACATAGCGCCGTTGTTTTTAAAAACATTGTGCTCACCGCGGAGAACTGTATCAACACGACCGCACTATGATATCTGGCGCTAGACTGTGCCGCACACCCTCCCGCATGGCCTTATGGGAGCCTAGGTACAACTTCCAACTTGAAGACGTACTGATAAAGTGATTTTATTTTCGTTTTTCTTCTGATTCCGTTCCCGATGACATCTATATCCATCATCGGAATGGGAAAGGATTAAAATTGGTTAGCCGAGACATTTGTTACCATGAAGTAGCAAGCTGTGGATGTGAAGGACTGTGAAGTTGATGAGGTGGTCTTGGACATAAATGAGTGGAGAAAGAGGTTCAAGAAGGCAGATCCTCCGCAGTCCATGATCTCTAGACCAGATATTTCACTTGTCGGTGACCGCCTGGAGTGGCGTAACTTTAGTGGGAAGAATTTTCTGAGCGTGGCCAGACAACGGTGAATTGTGTCAAATCAGAAACAATAGTTGCATGCAGGAAAGCCGTCCGTTTCAACACAAACGCCTTCGGGAAATGCTGATGGCGTTTTGCGCATGCGCGATGGCTGCGTGCGTTTTCTGCGTCTTGTTTGAGAGTTGGTCATTCGTGTTTTGGTAACCGTTCGTAACGAGTGGGCCGCCAAACGATTCGCTGCCATCGGCCGTTTGACAACTTTGCATGGGCACCAATTGCTGCTCTCTGGTCCATGGACGGTCCATGAGTGGTGAGTAATGCCAGGAAGATGAAGATGGGCAGTGATGGTGGATGATACGTGTTCATAACGGAAGGTTCACTGCTCCTTTATAAATGAGCAGCTAAATGCGGCCGGCGGTTTGTGAGCTTTTATTGAAATTGGTCGCATTATGGGGTACGCGCATGCAACGCTGCGAGATACGGAAATAGCCGCACATTAGTCAAAGAAGAAAACACAAGTTCGGGGCAACATATTGACGGTGAATATAATGTACGTCATCTAACACCAGCCTTCATCAGCTTGTCTTTGTCTGGTGTAAGACAACACAGGTACCTAATCAGGAATCTTCAAGCAAAAACTGTGAACAAATTCCATCCATGTGCAGAAATGTCCGATGTCCCAGGAATGCTCGTTTTGGTGGTGGCAGGCGGTCTCGGTGTGTCGCGCACAGGAGTTAAAACCCGTGGTGTCCTCAGGGATGCCTCCCGCGCCAACATGTGCTGCGTGCTTTGAGGAATTCTGGAATGCAGTGACATCATGGCTTGGAAGCTTGCGTGGCAGATTGCGATGTTCAGTTAGTTCTCCAACTTTTTTGTTGTTGACGCAACTTAGTTCTTCCTCTCGCTCTAGCCGCCTCCCTGCCTACGACATACGAATCGTAAACATGAACGTTGACAAGGAAAACAAGACGACGGCTGAACAGCGTGCAAACTATCACAGAGAGCTGCATGCCTGACATTACACCTCGAGACGGAAAGAGGAACACAAGTATCAAAGAACATACGAAAGTGAGAGACGCCATATTCACTGTTAAGAAAGGTCATTGGGCTTGGGCAGGACCTATCGCTTTGAAGGGACGATGGCCTGGAGGCCGAGACGATCTCCGGTGTGGCAGCCAAAGAAGCGAATACGCCTGACAGGATGACCACCGTGGATTATGGGAGCGTTGAGATCGGCTCATGTGCAGGAGTTGGATGGATTGTTGTTGCATCGCGAGACAGTGAGATAACGGTGGCGGCTTGTGGGAGGCCCTCAACCAGCAGTGGATAGATAACGGCAGATGATGATGATGAGCTGCCTCCCTGCCTCATCTTGGTACTTGGCGTGCGTGTTCGTTTTGTCGGTCACTCGCTTCACTTTAGCTTCTGTGAAGTTGGCAGCTCATTAAACAAATTTGCAGCGTAATATTTTTCTCTCGCAAATGTTAGTGCGCGGAGGCCATATGCTTTTAAAGATTTAAATAATTAATGTGGATTCTGGAGTTAAGTGTGACCTGTGCCAACGGTATATGTCATGTTTTATTCAAAAAGTCATTGCTCAAAGTTGCCTTACCTGAAGTTTAAGAAAAATGTCCGATAATTAATATTTGAACTTTTTCAGTAAAGTGTCGGATGCTGATTTTCCATTGCTTGATTTTATGTTTTCTTAACAGATTCATTGATGCAGTGATGGAAAGTTCCATTGATGGAAAGCGAATGATAAGGGAATTGTCTCTTAGACGCATTTGTCAAAACCACTTCACCGGTTAGCGCACTGCACCGTGAACCACGTGGCGTGATTTTGATTCCCCGCCACGAGCAAGTTCTGAACTGCTTACAGTTTACCCGTCCACTTCACTCACATTGCAATGACCTGCATGGTGAAGTATGACCACAAAATGTGAAATTCCTTGGTATGTTTGTGGTGTGGTGTACACGTGAAACTGATAGCGAGTGGTTGTGTGATGGTTAATGGATTGTGCTGTTGTCCTGGAGACCTGGTTTTGATTCTTGGCCCACATGCCGACATCAGTGGCGCATGGCAATTGAGCCTGCCGTGGGCCTACTTTAAGTCAACCCAGCCTAAAATGAGTTCCTGGCACACTGTATGAAGCGTCGGCAATGAGGAGACAATCATCACCAATGTCGAAACAAAGGTGTTTCGACATTGGTGATAACCACTGGCACTCTGGCCTTGAATAGGTACTCGCTCACAGCACTTTCCCTTCTAGTCTGAAAGCTGTCAAACGTCACTCATGGGACATGAATTTCACGATTTGGAGCATTCCTCACGGTTTCATGTTGACGTTGCAAAAACCTCGCACATTACCACGATCAAAAAAAAATCCTCCAAAAAAGTTACGAACTTTCCAATTTCTCAAATCGATTCAATAATGGCTGAGAAGCTCGTACAACAACCCCGCCACTCACCTGGAAGCCGACCAATCAGATACGTGGGACTTCTTCATTACAGACGCACACTGCCCCCTCGCCCCCACTCCGCCCCACCCCGACCCCCCCACTGCTCCCACGCTGACACCAGCCAATCTCACCCCACCCCCCTACTGGGAAGCCTCACGTGCATGACCATCTGACCTTCTTCCATACCTCACTCTGTTTAAGAGCTCGGTAATCTACGTGACTGAATGCCGATGAGACCCTGACAAACCCAGCCCAGAGTTTGCTGCTTAAACAGTTGCAGCTGGAAAGCGTTGGTTCAGAATTCCCCAAGGCTGATATAATAATAATATATCCCTCTATAAATACACCATGTTCTCCAGATTTTAAGACACACTCCCCCTCCCCCCTGCATTTTAGAGCAAAAGTTTTGGGGTGCATCTCATCACCTCGTAGGTGTGTGTGTGACCAGCTTTGTACAACTTTAATGAAACCGGGAAGTTTGGGGGTGCATATTACTTTCCTGAGCATCTAGTAATCGGAAAATAGGGTTTAATTTTTTTTTACACAGAGGAACAGACTTCATGTCCTGTTCATTATGCCGCCGATAAGGCCGTTCGTTAGGTGTCCGTACCTGATCCTGTGTGCCGACGATGGCTCCCCCCGTACCGTGAACAGAGATGAAGAAGGACTGGTCAGACCACGCGCTCTGGTGGGAGCGCAAAACCATGTGGCTGCTCAAGACGCACTGGACGCTGGACAAGTACGGCATCCAGGCGGACGCCACGCTGCACTTCACCCCGCAGCACAAGCTCATGCGCCTGCAACTCCCGAGCATGAAGTACGTGCGCGTCAAGGTCAACTTCTCCGACCTCGTCTTCAAGGCCGTCGTGGACATCTGCAAGACGTTCAGTAAGGGCCGCGGTCGCTCATCTCGTCGTGCCGCGTTTTTGTCGTGATGCATGCACGCACAAACGCACGCACGTTGAACCTGTTTCGCACCGTACGTAACCAACCGTGCGAATCCGGGAGGTGCGGGATGAAGGACAGGAAGCTGCGCACAAAAAGTGTTTCTAAAGAAGTGAGTCTTCATCTTCTTGGTTCTTTCGGTAAAGTCACGTAGAATGTAAATAATAAAATAATAGAAATAAAGTAATATAATATAATGTTTTATTTTTATTATTTTATTATTTCCATTCTACGTGACTTTACCGAAAGAACCAAGAAGATGAATCCCTGCAGTCACGAAAGCTTTAAATCGAAATTTAAGTGAGTTTTCAGTTTAGATTTCAAAGTGGCGGTGGAGAGGGTCGAGTGTCCTCGGTGCCATAGACAAGTGGGCTCTGTCATCGGAGTGGGTTGGCTTCCTTTTAAAAGTGAGCCGCATGCTTTTAACTGGGAAGTCGTGATGTCATAGGGTCAATGAGTGCTCAATAGTGTCCGTAATTTTAGGTCGACTTCAGTCTTGTGCCAATCTTAAAATGCATGGAAAAATCAACCGAGTAAGTTTGTACTAAAGTAGTACTATTCTAACCCAGGCTGACTTTTTTTTTGCAATCGCTTTCCAGCATGGAGGGTGGGGAATGGAAGGCTTGGGAGATTGAGCAGTGGTGGCTGCCTGGCTAATGGAGTGTGGGGACAAGATGTGAGCTGTGCTGATGATCCCAGAACGGCCCAGGAACATTCCTCGGCCACCGATGGCGCTCGCTAGTCGTCACGGAAACGTGGCATGAGTAGATTTGGGCAGCATTTTGTTGTTGGCAAATCGGAAGGAACACCTCTCCCGTGCCTCTTGCATTCCCATTTTTTTTTTACAATGAAAAAGGTGTGGCTCTATGGGATGGTGCCATGGAAATACAGAGACGCGGGTTACTTTGCATATGTATGTATTTTGAACGTATTTCTCACCGTACGTAGCCAACCATGCTAAACGGAGGACAACAAACTAAACACAAAAAGCATTTTAGAAGAAATTAGTTTTCAATCTAGATGACTTAAAAGTGCATAGCTCCAGTGGCTTCCTAATATCGGAAGGAAGAGCGTTCCAGATGGCCGCAGAAGTGCATCTTAAAGCGTGCGATGCGGTGACCATGTTTTTTCAATGACTAGCCAAAAGCCGCTGCGAGGATGACTGGAGTTCGCGTGATGGTTTATGCTCCTTGACGGTCACACATCTTTGTTGTATTTGTTACATTGAACAGTATAAAATCAGATGTAAAGGCTGTCCGTGTGCCCCATGTTAAAACGCCCCATGCTGTACATTCAAAGCATTATGATGTATGGGAGTAGAATTAAATTATGTTTGCTGCTCAGGAAAAACACAAGGGAACGATCGATTTCCTTGGATTAACTGGTATTGAATCTGTTTGTTCCTGCTGATGGCAATTCAATTAAATTGTTTTAATGCGTGGCTTGGTTGGGGCCCACTGAGACACACTATCCCTTCAGCCAGGAATAGCATGTCCTTCCCTCACACATCTGATTAGCACGGTTGGCTACTTACTAAATAAGTTCATACACACAGGGGGAGACCAGGTTAACCAGAAATACAGTGCAGCAAATTCAAGAAAAGGTCTGTTGTTCAATTGTCTGTGTTCAATAATCAATCCTAGGTATCTGTTTACGCTTTACATGTAAGTGTTGATATGGATGTGAACCTAGAAAACTGGCGTATTTGCTCTGGAGCCAGAGGCCATTTCTTATTTGAATGCGTTCAACTGTTAGCGTTGCACACACCAAGCTGCCAAAGGTTAAAGGCCGTGTCACATGACCCCACCTGCTGTGCATGCTTTGTGCCCGAGCGCAGCTTGAAAATAGCGCCGGTCCTTATTAGACTCCAGACGCTGCTGAGTTTTCTGGAATCCATTGCTTTTGAGCGGCAGCACTTGAAGCTGATTAGAAAAGCCCCTCTTCATTTCGGATCGAATTACCTTTTACGAGCAGGGAACTGTCCAGGATTTCTTCTCGATGGATTGCTCGAGTATTCACTTTGAATCAGATTAGATTGCGCTTGTAATCGGACGATGAGAGGTGGCCGTACGTTAATGTAAAGAGCATTTGACAACCTGACAGCCAAACTTTTTGCTGGCGTGATTTTATTTTTTGGTTTGGTAGAAATAAGTTCGACAAACCAGTCAATTAAGTGGGCTGTTAGAGTTTACAAATCCTCTGTGCCTGCCACTCGTGTTAACATTTAAAAATATATTTGCTTTTGTGGCAGAAAAATATGGAAGGATTGCCGCTAAGCACGAAGCATTCCATAAAGTGTGAAAATGAAGAAACGTTCAACAAAAAACTTGGGGGGAAAATATACCGGTTCATATAAATGCAATAATCTCACTCGGAAGGTTTTGTTGTCTAAGTAGGTTGGGTTATTGTTAAGCAGACCGACACAATTTAAACGCTTAGCATTGACATAAATTAGCATACATTTTACAGCCGTTTGTCCATCCACTGCTGGATGAAGGCCTCCTCACGCCGCGTCGGTCACGGGAGTTTGATTGACCATACTTCACCATGCTGGTCAGTGCGGACTGGTCAAGGGGGTTGCCCCAGACCGGTCCACGTTTGTCAGCTGTGACAGGAATCAAACTCGGTTCTCCGCACATTCACACCGCTGTAGACTCACCACCGTGCCACCGCCCCCACTCTAAGCGGTGGCACACACAGACCCACGCGAGGCAATTCCCAAAAAGGGAACTTGGTTTGGTTTATAACTCAACTTGTAAACAAATTCATTGTAATTACGCACTGAGCAGTGAGGCTTTGTAGCCTGCCTCTGACTCCGCCTCTGGACCAGGCAACGAAAGCAACTTTTCCTTCTTTGTTTTTTTTCGGTAAAGTCACGTAGAAAAGTCACGTAGAGGGGAAATATTTTATTATTATTATTATTTCCCTTCTACGTTACTTTACCGAAAGAACCAAGAAGATGAATCCCTGCAGTCACGAAAGCTTTAACTCGAAACTTTTCCACTGTCTGCATATCACGAACCCATAAAAAGTGTAACTTTGCTTCTGGTCTAAATGTGACTGAAGCTTAACCCCTGCAGCCACCTCAGCAGTTGTAACCAATACCTACGTTTCCCTGTCACTTAATCGCCGTTGACGGTTTTTGTCGCCGCTGTCGTTTTTTTTGCATCGCTCAAGCCAAGTCGATATCGGACCCATCGCGGCTCTCTCATTCTATTAGCCGGATTTATTTTATTCATAATTTTGCCGCTATGAATTTCCACGTGAAGAGACGCTTTGTTGTTGAGCTATCGTTTGTGGCCAGGTCGCTTCTGAAAAATACCTCCGGGGGCTTTGCCTGGCAGGATGGGGGATGGTTTGGTTTTATTTGTTTGTTTTTGGGCGATTTGTTTGCCTTTGCTATACTTTGCACTCCTATCGTGTTTTTTGTATTGTTTGTTGTTGTAGCCTTCTTACCTGCCCCTACTGGGCATCTGTGAAAAAGAGCTCTATAGCTCATCGGATTCCTCCAGGATGATTGAATAATTCTGATTCCGAGTCGGGGCTCCCACGGAAGGCGCTTTGGGCTGTGATACGCGGCGTGTCGTGGATGCACGTGCACACGCGTTCGCGCACACGCCGTGAGATTTAAATAACGCCGCGTGGAAATGGACACCTGCCCTGCTGAGCTCCAGCCATTTTAATTAGCCGCGAACAGGGCATTTTTAAACTCTGTCCAGCGTGCCACTCTGCTTACCTCACGCCTATTTTAAACGGCCGCGCGGTAAACACTGAGCTAGCACGGCTCGCAGGACTAAGAGTGTGCTCCTAATATGGCCATTGTATTGCCGATTGCCTACGTTTGCATGCCGTCAGTCGCCGGGACTCCCGGACTGTTCCGTGCGTTGGTTTAAACATCTAATTAGCTTGCAGTCGGGGATTTCCTATTTCTCAGCCGGAACAAGAACCCCGATAGAGATGCGTTGTCTGATGGCTTTTGCGATGTCTGACAGCAGACCGTCTTCGACACGACCAATCGTGAATGTGCCCGAACTGGTATGGGCGGACGCTTAACCAGGGTTGAGCCTGGTTAGCAGGTGGTTGGGAGGTTGCCTGGGATTGCCATGTGTGTTGGTATGGCTTTGGGGCTGCAAGGTGGCCAGAAGATGTCGGCACAACGATAGATTCTTGACTCTATCGGTGCAGAGCGTTGAGTGTTATCCCCTAATTGTACGTGTGGCTTTTCTCTGGGTACTTCCAGTTTCTTGCCACGGAGACAAATATTCATGAATGGCATGAGCCAAACATCCCAATTATGGACCTTTCTGAGTCATCTTGAATACTCGGTGATCAGCGTGGCTTTCCTGGGCAAATAAAAAAGCATGGTTTGTTTTAAAAACTTGTCCCATTCCTTTTCATAGTACTCTCGATCATAAAAAGGGATCCAAAGTAAAGTAATAGAGGCAGAAAAGAGAACCTTTTAGTGCTTTTGGGAAATTTTACTTAATAATGAAAAGCAACATGCCACAGACCTAATAAAAGGAACGTTTGTATTCGGTGCATATTACATACGATTACATATGGATCAGAAACAAGGACACTGAAGCAAAAATAAATGAGAGTTTAAAAGTGTGTATTGAGCCATGGAGGGACACATGTTTTGAATCGCACCGAGACACGTAAAGTGGAAATGCACGATTCGGAGAGCAAATGCAAGCTGGAGACATCGTGTTCGCCATTTAAGAAAAGTACGCTTGGCCGGACGTGTCGCTAAAGTGGATGATGGCCAAGAGTCATGGCTAATGACAGTGTGGCAAACAAAGGAGTGAAGCATGCCCAAGAGGGACATCCGCCACAGAGGTGGAGCAATGAAATTAACTAAACTGTAAACTTATTTTATGTTACCAGATAAGGCACACTGAGCTACTCAGCTCTTTTTCAGAAGCGACCTGGCCACATATGATAGCTCAAGGGAGGGACGTATCATGTGGAAATGTTTCGCATTCAAATACTCTGAACGCATGATTCTAAATGTGGAGGGGAAAACCGGAGGACATGGAGAAAAATCCACACGCCCACGGGGAGAGAGACCAGGCAAACTCAAAATATGCAGCAGGCGTCAGGGTCGGGATTGAACCCATGACCAGGCGAGGTAGTTAATATCTCACCGCCATGGCACCCGTGAAATGAGCTTGTGTGCAGGAGGAGCTCCATGGGTTGTTGCATCGCAGGACAGTGGGAGACCGTGATGGCTTGGGGGGAGGCCTTCAGTAAAGAAGGTTGATGATGGTCTCTTTGGGGTTGTCGCTGTTTTGATGTCACATGGACATGGCCACTTCCGAAAAGCGATAATTAGTGCCACTCATTACCCTGTGCCGGAAGATGCTTGGGGACATCTGAACCCATTACAAAAACGGGCAAAGTTGTTACGACACTCGCAGAGTTATGCACAACACATTAGAAAAACAACGGCGATAACATGCAACGAACTTGCTGAACATTACCTACCGCAGGCTAGAGATAAGAAAGTTCACCTTTCAAAGTGTATTAGTGTGGAGACCTTTAAAGTGCAATTTAAGAGGAAACCTTCGAGCCATAAGCAATTATCGTAAATGTGCGGGCAGCTGGGCTATTGCTGTTCAAACGTGTCGAAAGTGCACCTGGCTCGCCCCGGTTGTTTACGTTTCTCCCTCTCCTCACTCTTAGCTGCGTGGCGTGGAAAATAAAAACAGAACGAGGGTTCACGAGCGCCTTGTTTAGCCCAGGCCAGGCCAGGCACGCGATGACCCGAGCTCTGGGCAGGCAGCTGGGGTTTCCGATTCGTTCTCATGGCAGGGAGTCGATCAACGTTCGTAAGTTCGTGCCGAGGTTTGGCGAGCGAGCCCGTGGACGGCTCTCGTCGAGCAGTCTGATGAAATGCGCGAAATGCTGCCAGTGACACGGGCCAGTGGCGGGCTAAATGCGGTTCCACGGCGGTGAGATTTGTGACCGCAGTCGTGGACCGTGGGCTATCTGTCATTGTTCACTGGTTGCAGGAGAGGAGATCACCGTTGAGATAGCTCTGCAGAAGGGTGTAGCGGCTCGCAGTGAGAAGGTTGCGAGTTCAAATCCTGGTTGGGGGGTCCGACTTGGCCCATCATCCGTCTTGGGTTGCCAAATGAGTTATCACTTTGTGGCGAAGCCAACAGTGGTTGTGCTGTGGATAGACTCGTCCCCAACATCGGAATGCAGATTTTCCTCCACTGGATCAGGGGCACGCTCAGCACTGTCGATTAGCATAGTTGGCTACGTATGGTGCGAAAGAAGTTCTACGTACATAAGGTTACATAATTTGAGCAGGAAATCCGCTTTGATTTATTTGGAAGGAGATAGCCACGTAGACTTGATGTGCCAACACGACAGACAGGAAAGCATCCCACCCACCTCTGCGAAGCAAAGTCTCTAGCATACTCGCTGGATAACTGTGTGATGAGTGTCAGACGACACTCGCAAAGAGAAGGGCGGGGGGTGGGGCAGCTGCTAATCCGTAGGCTGTGTACGTCCCGGTAATAACAAACCTCCATTCTGGTGAAACCCATAATCTGGTTACATAGTTTTGCTGGAAAGTTAATCCTTCACAAAGTGGGTTGACAGTCAAATTATAGTTTGCATTATTTTTATATATGCAGTACATGTATGTTCATATGTACTGGGAAGTTTTTTTGCTATACTTTTAATATGGGTATATTTATATATATTTTTTCTCACCGTATGTGTTGAGAAACCTCAAAGCATGGAAATAAATACACGGCTTTGGATTTTTTCGTGTAATTTGTTTTGCAAAGATATGTATGGAATGTAGGTAAATGTATCTAATTACTACATGTAAATGGAGTATTTAGATATTGGGTGAGCAGTCGGTTCGTGCACTACTGTGAACGTAACCAACCGAGTTTGATTCCTGACCATGGTTAATGTGAGTCGAGAGTGACATCCAAACCTGTCCTGGGCCTCTTCTCACCTTCAGGCGCAGCAAAATATGTATTTATTTATTCAGGAGCCTGAAGACTTTGGTATTTTCAATGCTTGGCTAATTTTTTTTTTTTGCCATGTTTTGTTGCTTGGAATCTTTTTACATTCAGAGACAGATAGAGGAACACGCAATCAAAGGACACAACACACAATTGACAGACTTCATATTGACTCTTCATGAAAGTAAATGGACAGGACACGTGCCAATATAAGAGATGATTGCTGATGGGCACAGGATGACCACTGTGGTAGGAAGCAATGAGTTACCTTTGCAGGATGTAAATCGATGCTTTGCATCATGTGACTCGGTGATGGCTTGGGAAGGCTTTCATACAGCAGTGGGTGGATCTTGGCTGATGATGATATTCCAACATAAAGCTGTTCGAAGGCAAATTTGCGTGAGTAAAAGGGATATGTTGATGAAGACCAAAATATCTTAAATGTTAATCTTTGTGGGTAGAGGAGCGGGTGGCTAGCAGTAAAGATTAATAGCCATTTATTTATCCAGGAGCCTCAAGACTTTGATATTTTTAATGCTTGGCTAGTTCCTTTAAACGTGTTTTGCATATTTGCCAATATTTTTATCCAAAAATTATGAAAACATACGTACATTACAATGCATTAATAAACAAAGTAGGCTGTCAAATGTTTTAACAATGCAAGGGAGTCATGTATAACTGGTGCTTTAAAAATTGCGGTTTCGAGATCATGATTTATAAACAACTACAAGCGATTTGAATTGCCGTTATGTCACAACTAGAGGTCAGAGATGAACCTTGACTTTGTAGATAATACTCTTAGGTTTTTTCAGTAAAGTCACGTAGGTAATAATAAATAATAAAAATCATAGAAATTATAATAGAAATATAATAATAAATCACGACATTTACTTTTTATTTTTTATTTTTACCTACTTGACTTTACCGAAAAAAACTAAGAGTATGAATCATTGCAGTCACGAAAGCTTCAAATCTAGAATTTGTAGATAATATATAGATGATACTATGATATTTCCAACAGCATCTCCCCGTGAGAGAAACAAAAAAATTACACTACTGAAAATGAATCCGTGTGCTCTGCTCAAATAACTCAGATATATTTTTTTATTATGAAAGATGGTTAACAATGGAGCGTAGTTTAACACAATGTGGGAGGACCTGTTACTAATCGTCATTTTCACACCAGAAATTATGTTGAAGTCGTGGAACCCAGTCTGATCCATGGGGAGGGTGGGGAAGACAAGTTATAATGTAAACAAAAACATTTATTGCAAAAAAGATGAAAGTAAATATGCCTTTTAAAGTATAATTCAGAAGTCAACAGGAATTAAATTAAATTAGAACAGGCGTTTAATTCAGTAACCATTAGTGAAGAATCTAAACATGAAACGCATGCCGTTTTATGTACATTAATGATCTTCTAGTTTAGGTAATAAATCTCCCCCTAAACATTTCATTGCGGCTGCGTAAGTGATGAATAAAGTGCGCAGGGTAAACCCGTAGAGTCCATAATCTGCGGTGTGAGGGGTAATGTTTTATTGTATGGGATTGATTTTGTATTTATTGTGGGTGATTAATTGTAGCTTAACTGTGGCCTTAAAAGGGTTTGTGAAGAATAACAGTGGCTCTTTCATTTAATATTTGCAAGCATACCGACTTAACGTCCAACTTAACCCTATCATGATGCACGAATTGGTAAAATAAAAAAAACAAATTTGTTTGCTTTAATGTTATTTTAGAAGTTAAAAGCACGCCACACCAAATATTTCCCCCCATAACATTTCATATCATCATAGCAGTCGACCATTGTGCATGGGAAGGGCTAGAGAGGTAACAAGACAGCAGACTCGTTATCACAATCGCCTTCAAGCATCACCAGCGGCATGGAATGAGATTCAAGTCAGGACATGGAAAAGTTATACAAAAATAATGAGTGGGGTGGGGGAGGTCAGCGAACTGAGCTGACACCACTGACACATTGGGTTGAGTCCAGGCAGCTGCCATTGATTACCCTGGCCTCTCGAGTGTAGTAGCACGTTGATGGTGTCGGCCCGGTCACCAATGACTGCATACGAATACAAAAACGTTCGTGTCAAATTTGGTCATCGCTTAACTTGGCAAAAAATGCCAACTTTGAGAATTGACAAATCTTGAAGTGACTGCCGTGCGATGAATATCTCTCCGGCAGCTTGGGTTGGAGAGTGCAACAGCCCTTGTATGGGTAGCAGGTCACTCAAGGGATTTCACTAGTGGCTCTGTGATGCTGGCCATTTCCTGTTTTGTAAACAGGGGCCGTGGGGGGATATACCACGCTGTGAGAATTCTGAATTTATTAATCTCATGACATTTTGCCTAGAGTGCAATTGGAATCAAATTGGAAAGAACACGGAAGAAAATAAAAATGTGAACGTTCTTTTCCCCCATGATATTGAGATGTTCATTTTTCCCCGTTTTTTTCTTTAGACATCCGCCACCCAGAAGAGCTGTCCCTCATCAGGAAGCCTCAGGATTCTTCCAAAAAGAAGAAGAAAAAGGGAGGAGAGGAGAACAACCACGAGGAAGTGACCGAGTTGGAGGGTCCCCTCATCACACCCACGGCCAGCCCTGGTGAGTGCAGCTCAACGGTGGTGTGTGCCACCTTTTGACAAACCAGGGTTTAAGAAGACGTCGAGACCAGGATCGGTGGACGGGGAGAATGGGGTTTTGAGGAGTGAGCCAGTGGCAATCCTGTACTGCGATCGTGGAGGGGCACTGTAGCCGATGGGATAGGACAAGAGGTGACTTGGTTGTATACACCCGTGCTGTTATTCGCACGTATGTTTACTCTTCGAATGAATACATTTGGCTTCTGCCAGAGTTTCCACGGGGATTTCTAGTGGAGGCTCAAGTGTGCCTCCCTGAGTCTGCTAAGTTAAGGGGGTCGGAAGGGGTTGATAGACTCCCCCTGCCCCTCTGTGCTATGGCCTTCGGTCCTCGGTGGCCCATGTGCCATCACCTCCACCCCTACCAAGGGCCCCTTGGTGCTGCTTGCATTGCTCGCGAGTGACTCGTCGTGTGACTAAGCAGCAGGCTGGTTGGACAGTTTAATGGAAGGCGGGGGGGGGGCCTCTTGGTAAGTTTCCATGTTTGGGTGAGGTGTAGATGTCATCTGGACCGATAAAGAATAGGTGCAATTTTCTCGCGAGTAATTTTGCCTCATTCTTCAAATGTTGCGCAACATCCCGTGTCGACCACTGCAGATGTGTCGCTTTATTTTGCAACGTGGACTTTTACCGAGTTGGAATCGCAGCACATGTCTCTTTATAAAATAAGCTCTGGGAGAGAGGGGGGTGTAGGGGTGGGCTGGATGGAGGCTCCATACCTACCCGCCCTTCTCACCGAGGTGGTCTTCTCCAGGGAGGCCAGCAAGGAATTCGGGCAAGGAAAGGTGCCAACTCGGCCTACGACTAATAGTAATGCTTAATAGCAATGAAATGCAGGCATTGTAGATTAGTAAATGAGGTTGACATTATACAATTTAAAAAAATAAATAAGGCGAATGTGTTGCTTCCCTTGATCATGAAAGTTTCATTCAATTATCTTGTCAAACATTTCCGAGCCGTCATACACACAACGAAAATATTCAGCCATATGTGAGCGGATTGCCATGACGACCAGGAGACTTAATCCAGCCAATAATGACGTTTTACATATAAACACGCAATAAAAAAAAACTAATATTCAAAGGCAGCTTGAATCCAGTAATTCTGTGTTCTTGTCAAACATCTACCACGAGTTGCCATACATCAGCCATGCTGGATCAGAATTCAGCCATGCTGGATCAAACTATGGAGTTGCTAGCAAGATTATTGCAAAAAAATAACACACTTCAATTTTGCATACGATGTATTATTTTCGTGGGTGCATTTTAGAATGCATGTTTCTGTTCCAGTTAAATTAATGTTTTATTTTTTAAGTACATGTATTTGTTTATTTGAAGAATGCCGACGTTTATATCAGTTATACATGACGAATGATGATGATGGTGAAAATGATGATAGTTGTGTGTGGAATTTCATGGGCAACAGCTGAGTTTGTATTTCGTCAGTAAGTTTAGAACGGGCCTCGAACACAGACCCGGCTCGCTCGTGAACATTTTAATTGATGTTTAAAAATGGTTTGGACAGATAAGCAAACAGCCGATTGGTTACTTGACAAACTGTCCCAGTGTACTTTTGGGTGGAGCTGTTATTAATGACATCCCTTAAACATAACAAGACCAACTTGATAAGCGGAGACTTATTACTCCGTTCAACCACAATTGTCGACATTTCCACTCGTGCAGATTTCCCCGGGCCAATAAAACACACCTCCCAGCCTGTCCTGTACGAATTAGTTTAACTGTCACCCCTAGACCTTTGTTTCATTTGTATTTGCCCAATTGCTTAAATGTGGTTAAAATGCCCGGACACGTTACACCTCCTTGAGCCTTATCTTGTGTAGGTTTGCCCAGGTAAAGAGCAGTGTTTACATAAAGGAAGGGGCCCTACTTGGGGAGCGTTTCACAGTGACTTGGAATCTTGTACTTCAGCTTACGTAATAGCTGGCTCGACAGGCATGTGCTAATAGAGCTTGGGTGAGAGAGTAACATCACCTGGTTTTTAGGCGCTTCACGTTACCGATGAGTGTTATTTTTTTCTGTGCCACTTAAAAATCTGAAATCCATCAGTGGGTTCCATAAATTATTCGCTTCTAGGGCGCAACCATTGGAGCACTCCGTTGACCAACTTGTTTGTTTTCTTGATTTTTTTTTTTTAAGGGCTTGGCATTTCCGATTAGCCCCTGGGAAAGTTAGTGTAAAATGCCGAACACGGAATACGAGTGCGAAGATTACAACTTCACGAGTAATTTATAGGATTATTAAAGTTTCGAGCCGAATGCGCGTAAAAAAAAAGCTAAAAAAACAAAAGCGGCATTCAAAAACGAGCTCGGACGAAGGTCCCCATTGTCCTTGGCAGCCCCCACTGCCGCCACGCCGCGGCCATTCCAAGTCTCCTTGGGACCCAGGGAGGAGGATTTCTGCTCAGGAAGGAAACGAACTCTGGCGCAGGGGAACTGCTGCTGCAGCAGCAGCGGCAGCAGCAGGATCAACGGCCTGTGTCCACTGTGCCCCGTGGTGAAAAACATGGCAGCGGTCCTTCAAGCCAAAGTGCCAAGATCGCGCCCAAATAGGCAGTAAACACGAGTCCGCCTTGCGTCTCATTCCACCGCGTAGTCGTTTAACAACAGCTTCCCCGAATATGGGCAAAAAAGCTTAGCCCTGCGTCAGATTTTGCCGAACACTTTTTTGCCGAAGGCGAGCGCTCTGAGACATCCCGTGCCTTCCCCGAGCTCCGCGTGCGTACGCGCGCTTTTTATTTGCCGTTCGTTTCTTTCCAATTGGGGGGGGGGGGGGGGCGATGCTCTTGTCGTTACGAGGTTTTTCGGGACGTTTTGTACCGCAAGCAGCGCTGCTTAATGATGAAATCCCGAACGTAATTAGGAATCTGGCCCCGTGTCTCTGACACACAGGCAGCGCGGGGGGGGGGGGGCGCTTCCTGTGTGTGACCTTACAGTACCCGACTGTGTGGTGCACGTTTGGGAGCTCCTGGTTGGACTGTTGCGTGGGATGACCGGGGGGGAGAGGAAGAGGAGGGGGGGTGGTGGCGACGAGAGGTTGGAGGAGAGGAGGAGGAGGAGGGGGGGCAGTGTCTGTGACTAAACCTCCTGCCCTTTGCCTTGTTTGGCCTTGTTTGTCAGCTGCGGCTGAGGGTGGTTTTCTGAAGTATTTTTTTACATAAAGTCTGCATTTTTGGTGATATATTGGAATTAACAGTGATGTCACATTTTTTTTCAGCGGTTTTAAAATAACCATGGACCGTGATGTTAAAAAAATAAGGAAATGGGTTTATTTTTCATAGAGCACTCTTTTATTTTCTCACGTGCAACTTTATAACTTAATGGATTATTTGTCCCACTGTCATTTCATCAGTGTTGGTGGGATTTCTTCTCCTCTTCACCTTGTTACTTTATTAAACCACACGTATTAAAATGGGGAAAAAATGTCCACCTTTTTTCCGCCCATAACCCCATTACCAAATTCTCTTTTAAAATCTGGACAACTCTAATGGTCTCTGTTTGTGTTCCACCGAAGTTATTTTTACACTCAATTTAAACGCGTTAGATCCAGTTATGAGTTTCAAGTACTTTACCGTAACTGTAATTAGATTCCCTAAGCGATTTACAAAAAAATCCTGATGAAATTAAAGCTTAAATTTCTAGCCTTGTTTTCACAAATCCAGAGCGTAGCACTCCTTGTGATACCATTAAAACTAGATGTGTACCGATCCACTCTGCACCCCCCCACCTCCTCTTAATGTCCAATCAATCCGTTAATTCAAGGTCACAATTGTGGCCAATGTCGCCGTCACTTTTAGTGAACTCTACACAAACAACATGCCATGCGCGTTATCGAAACAATAACCGATGCTTACGCATTCTTACTTAGCTTTACTGTCGATAGCAATCGATTAATTGGTGCACCTCCAGTTAACACGTTGAGCTTCTCAGCTGCGCGTTGAGTGTAACAGAAACTCGCGGTTACAGTTCTTCAAAGGCACGACACCATCACCTTACTTGCATTCCCATTTAAAATCTTTTTTTTTCCTCCCTCTCTCAATTTTCCTTCCTTTCCATAAATCTCTGCCTCTCTTAGACAGCAAGAAAGATGTTCTATATATCGGTCCGGTGAGAGGTAAGTTTCTCGAGTGTTATTTTCCTGCATCATGTGCTTTGTCTCAACCCTTTCTCTCTCCGTGCATTCCTGCTACTTGTTTGCTTTCTTCCTCGTTTATTGTTCTTTGTGTTTGCTTTGTTCTTTGTGTTTGCGTGCATATTTTGTGCGTTTTTTTTTTACTAAGCAGTTATTCCCGTGCACGCACGCGCATCTAAAGATCGCCCTAAGTGACCCCGAACATTCCGCAAGATTGCAAAGAAAATAGCGTGCACACTCGGATGCACTCCTTAACACTGCGATAGCATCTGAAGGACTTTCTCACTTGAGGGTTATTGCTCTGCATGTTTTATTGTTGGCCTAAAGTAGTTGAGGTGAGTTAGGAATGTTATGCATTGTGCTGATATTTATCCTCGCGAAAGCAAAACCTGTTTGAATTCTCACATAGGTGTCCTGGATTGGTATGCGGCTAAGCATAACAGGATGATTTAAATTATCAAATAATGCACAGCTGTTTGCCAATCCACTGCTGGATGATGACCTCTCTAACTCTGCATAGGTATTGGGGGTTGATTCTGCATACTTCGCCATGCTTTTCGGTGAAGGTTTGTGAAGTGGAGGGTGCCCAGGACCTCTCTAGATGTTATCCGTGGCCAGGAATCAAGCTCAGGCTACCAGGTTCAGAGCGGAATGCGTTAACAAATGTGCCACCGTTATTCCCACGTTAAATATCATAGTTTACACGAAATGTTTGAAATAATATAAGACGGATATACAAGTAATAGCACATATATACGGTGTTAATGTATATCACAGTGAGATGCATAATGATCAATTTAGAGGACAACAATCCATCGGATTATATGGAAGGCAAATATGAATTATCATCATGCTTAGCATTTCCAAAACACACAGAATCAAATTGAGTAAGTATAAACTGGTGCAGTCATTCAAGCACTCACAAACCAAGGCCTTAATAAAAATACGTAGAAATGTTTAAAAAAAATGCAAACTCATTGAGATTGTGTGAAGAAAATTACAACATGCAAATCAGAAGATGAGTGGGCATGAAGATGGATGGGAAAAACACAAAACCATCTAAAATGTGTCAACGTCATAGCCATTATAACAACCGATGGTAACTAACTAATGGAAAATGATTGCAGAACCTAACAAAATAATCCTGCAAAGCTGAGCGAAGGATAAATGTGAGCAAAGAAAATTAAAGGAAAATTAACGGATGTAATCGTTGGGGTGGCACACAATTGTTGTATTGTGTATGTCAATTATTGAAGGTGGATTGCGATCAATGTAATGAAATAAATAGGCAAGTAAGAGCAAGGCTGAGTGTGTTAGCTAAATGTAATCTAATTATGAAAAGCAAAATTACAATATGACCAAAGAATAAAATTTTCTATATTTGCATATTGTCTGTGATGACATCACAACCAGAAACGAGGACATTGAACAGAAATCTCGGAAAGTACGCAAAGATGCATGGACAGATGCATGCTGGGAATTTTTACTGAGCGATCGAAAGATACTCTCATAGATCGCAGTACAAGCACACATTGAAGACCTGTTGCTGTTGATAAAAGTAAGTGTGCTTGGGCAGAACAAATCCCTAGCGCGAGGTTGAAACCAGTGCTGGAACGTGCCCGAGAGGACAGCCGGCATGGAAAATGAACGATGGCGATCAACTCGCGCAGCACGTGAGCCCGTGAGCCCAATGAGTTCTGACATGGCAGGATCAGGTAGCGATTGCCACAGCTTGGGGAGGCCTTCATCCAGCTGTTGATTATTATAATGAAATGTTATTGCACATTAGAATCTGTATTTCATTCCACATTTTTATTTTTCCTGGAGAAATCTGATGAACTATGAAACTCTATTTCACAAATGTCATGTAGGGGGTAAGCCACATCGAAATGCACAAACATGCACTTTGCACCGTAATGTGCCACTTAATATTGCCAGTCATCCTTTTTTTCTCTCCTAAAAATGTATCCACACTCAAGGAAGTGAACCGCAGAATTTCAATGGTTATGCTTTTTTTTATGTTTTGTGCCGCTTGATGCAGCAGTTTGAAATCGAAGTGTGCATGCGTGACTAATGAATTAACTCGATGTTAAACCCTTGAGATTGACGTGCCCTCATCACCCCTGTTGCCGGAAAAAAAAAATATCCGTCAAATTTCACCTCCAGTCGTTTGATTTTATCACGATTCACTAATTGTGTCATCAATACAGCCTGTGCTGCCAATGAAGGAGCCTTGCTCATGACTGATGGCTCTCCAGTGGTTGCACTAGAGGTGCTTTCTACTGTGTATGTATGTATGTTGAACTTCTTTCGCACTGTACATAGCCAACCGTGCTAATCAGAGGTGCGGGGGAAGGACGACAAACTAAACACAAAAGGCACTTCTAAATAAATGAGTTTTAAAACTAGATGATTTAAAAGTGCATAGATGCAGAGGCTTCCTAACATCGGAAGGAAGAGCGTTCCAGATGGCCGCAGAGACGCATCTGAAAGTGTGCGATGCAGTGACCGTCTTTATTCGATGGTTCGCCAAAAGCCGCTGCGAGGATGACCGGAGTTCGCATGATGGTTTCTGCTCCTTGGAATGGATGATTTTGCCAGTTTCAAAAATGTGCGTTGTTTCCGAGCTGTGTTTCGGCACCTTCGAGTCTCCTGCCACACAGCGACAAAACTAAGCTGCTGCAATATGAATCTGAAGCCGCTCTGTAGTGATTTGCAACTAGAGCTGCATTGCGATATGTCCCAACTCTACGATGTTTATTTTATAAATTAAATTTTTTTTGCCTTCTGTTATTACTTACATCCCAGTTTCATCATAGTTGCGCGCTCAGTGCCCGGTCACGTGACCCCGGCCAGCAAAAGCCTCGTATCAGCATTCGGAGGACAAATCTATTGGAACAACTGTTTTGATTGCCGTTAGGTGTCACGTTGCCGTTTTTTCTTTGTGGCTGAGACACAGGATCTCGCTGCCCTTGATGGCCTCGTGTGTCCACGGCCGGCTAATCGAAACCAAGCTCCAGTGTCTGAGCAGTAACGGCTCATGGGGTCTGACAGGACTATGCAGAGGCACTCCAGCTGCTTGGCCACCTCATTATTGATATTTGTACTCCATTAAACACAGCTTTCCCTATAAGTAAAGGGTCAACTTCTTCTTGGTTCTTTTGGTAAAGTCACGTAGAAGGGAAATAATAACATAATTATTTTATTATGTTTAATTTTTATTATTTTATTATTTCCCTTCTACGTGACTTTACCGAAAGAACCAAGAAGATGAATCCCTGCAGTCACGAAAGCTTTAAATCGAAAAGGGTCAACTGTTTCGCCTACTTAGCTATCAGGCATGCAGCAATGAATACATTTTCTACCTAATATTGATCTCGCACGGTCAAGGTACATGCATACATTTGTGCGTGCAGTATATGCAGGTGACACTGCAATGTGACATTTAAGCTCATGGGTGTATGCAAAAGTGCAACTGACAGAAAAAAGAGAAACAAAGCCGATAAATTATCGAATCAAATGGCTGCCCCAAACTGCGACTATTCGCCAAATCTCACCGACAGTGGCAGAGGAGCCAATCGCCCCAAACGCCGAATGCGCCCTCCCGTTCAAACGACGGGGAAGGGCTGGCGGCCCACGCGATTTAAAACCCTCGCCCTCTCCGTCCCCCGCCATGCAGGCGGACCCTTCTCCAGCCCCGGCTGGTACAGCAAGACCATGACGCCCACGTACGACGCTCGTGACGGCAGCCCCCTGTCGCCCACCACGGCGTGGTTCGGCGACTCCCCGCTCGCCGAGGGAAACCCCAGCGCGCTTGCCGCCGCGCTGCCCAACACGTCGCCCTGAGGTGCTGGCGCGCATGTACCGGCCACAGACGCTGCTCGACAAGGCGCGCATCAACGGCGGGTGAGGCCCAGCGCTCCTGCAAACGATGCTCCGCTTATGATGATGCTGACGATTTATTCCGTTGCTGCTGATGATGCTGATGGAACTGCCTCTGCTGCAGCTAATGATGCTGCTGCTGCAAATAGTACCGTTGCTAATGATGCGGAGGAAAATTATTTTTCTGCCGATTTGATGACGATGCTGCTGGTTATGATGGTGATGATCCTTCTGCTGTTGTGGCTACTATTGTTGCTGTTTCTATTGCTGCAATTTCTGCTTCTGCTATTATCGCTGTTGCTGCTACTACTACAGCTGTTGACTGTTACCGCTCTTCCTGCTGCTGTTGCAGCTGTTTCTTCTGTGGGATTGAATTGGTCTTTGCGGTGGGAAGTGGCTGAGAGCGATGACGGCATGTGGTGGAGTGGGTGGTAGCAGCGAGCGACGGGGGAAGACAGATGTGAAGCAGGGATGAAGGAAGGAGGTTGATAGAGCGTGCGTGTAGGAGGCAGAGAAATGGGAGAGAGGAAGTCAGTGGGGGTGATGACGTCTCGGATTCTCCACTCCAAAATAACTATTGTGTAGCGTTCTCATTCATAAAGACATTTGGCCTCTCGTATGCTTCAGAGGCAAGTACACTCATTACACACCACGGTTGTATTTCCCTATCGTTGAATGGAGTACGATGTCCAAAACATAATTATAATAATGCCTTTTTATTTACAGAATAAAGCCTCACTAAGTTTTTAAAGACTCATCTTCAGGATGGTTTCCCATATTGTGACCTCTTGGACATTCCCATTGATGAGCTGTTTGGACTTGCAGAAGGAAGCTCATTGAGGGTAACACTCAAAGTGCCGCACAGATAGATTCAAGAATCCGTTTCCGTGCTGTCATCTCCTAGGCCACTGCGCAGTTCCATGCGGCCTCTCGGCCAAGTCCAAATCCAGCTCAGCTCCGTTTAGCTTCTGAAATGCGATGAGGCTGGGCTCTCTCTACAGAGCGAATTTGGCCACAGGCAATCGATGACCAATTACCACATTTAGCTTTTCCAGGCCTCCTCATTAAGAATCCAACCAGGAGGCATTGTTCAAGTTAATGAAATCACGCACGCCAATTAGTTTTACGAAATAACGGAATTTTTAAAAACGACAGCGCGTGTGTGCATGTGCTGCGCAGTGGTGATATTCACAAGTCACTGGAGCTACGCACTTTAAAATAACCTGGATTGAAAACGCATTTATTTCGAAATGCTTTTTGTGATTAGTTTGGTGTCCTTCCCCCGCACCTTTCAATTGGCACAGTTGGCTTCGCACGGCGCAAAAGAAGTTCTACATACATACCTACGCAGAGACCCACATACACCCAGAGCCATAGAGACCGACAGATCAGCACGGTTGGCTTCCTACGGTTTCGTAAGAAGTTCCACATGATCATTTGTAATAGATTTGCCATCCGACTGTGTAGAGCTCTCCGATGGAGGAAGGTTCGGCTGCAGGGAGCGGGGTGCTGGGAGGAGAAGGAGTCGGTGACTCATGGGGGGGGGAGTGAGGTGGCGGGGCTATGACGAGGGGGAGGCACGTCATCGTCATCGTGTTCACCATAGTCATAATCACCGTAGCCCTATTCACCGGAGTAGAATTGATAGGGGGCGCGTGTGTGGGGGAGTCAAACAATGGGGGAGGTGAGCAGGTGCGATTACGAAGACTCAACATCGTGGGTCGCAGTTAGTCACATCGTCTGTTTTTTCAGACACGCCATGACTCGCTTATTAACGGTAGACGTGCCATTATTGTTTTTGTCCTTTGCGGTATTCTTTCCTACTGCGAGCTTGATTCGCGGGTCATTTTTGTTTTCCGCGGTGTTGTCCAGCTTCTTTGTACTTGGTCATAATAAATGTTTGATGTACCACTATGTTAATTACAATGTTTTCGGTTGCTCTGAATTCTGCACGCTTAGCGTGGCTTTAATGTCGTGCAGCAGCCGTGCTTTGGGGCCCGATACTTCCAGTGACATAATCTGATAACGGAGGAGAGCGGAATGCCGTGTGTGTGTGTTTTTTCTCGCCATTTCACACATCAGAGCTTTTTTTCCCAGGGAGATTGGATAACTGAACACACCTATTGTCGTTTTCTTTTGAAGTACACCTCGCATTTCACCCATGACTCGATTTCACAATAAAAGCAAAATACGGCTTACGGCAGAAATCCGGATGGAAAATTTGGAATTAAATGTCGTGTCAATCTCGTGGTTTACAACTGCATGGCTTCTCAAGTAACAACACCTGAAAGCCAATTTTGTTTGTGAGTTTCAACTGTTGTGTTGTTGCTCTAACTAGTAGAATTCGTATTTTATTCAGATATAGAATTTATTTATAACCCGACGATATTTAATTGAGATAAGTCTTTTTATCGATGGGTACCTTGTAAAAAAAGAATGCACGTACACAGCAACAATAAAGTATTTGAAATTCCATGCAGTAAATAGTTTACGTAAAAAAGAGAACTATGTAAACGTAAATATTGAAACTATTTTTAAACCGATTTAAACAAAATACAGTTACGGGCCATCTTGGTATATACAAACCGCACTTGTACACACGCCGATAATTTAATGTACCTTGGTTGCTCACAGCGAGTGTTTGTGAAGCACTGTACGTCTTTTATCAACAAATCCCCTCCCCATTTAGAAACCCCGTCGTTTTCCCTGACCCTTGTGTGTTGGGCGTGCAGTTGGCTGGACTCGTCGAGGTCTCTCATGGAGCAGGGCATCAAGGACAATGACATATTGATGCTCCGGTTTAAGTACTACAGCTTCTTTGACCTGAACCCAAAGGTGAATTGCATTCAAATTTAACTCTCCGGGCCTCTGTACTAAGGCGGCAATACATGGAACGCAGTTTCATCGTCATTTGCTTTTCTGTGTTTTTAATGCTTCGTGTTATATGTACTGTCCAGGTAATTACATTCGCTGCATAATTGCTTCAGTAGCGCATGGTGTAGTGGTTATGTGCGCTGCCCTCTGAGCCCAGTGACATGGGTTGTATTGCTGACCACGGATAACGGCAGCGCCACGTGTCGTCGTTTGAAAATGGATGCTGTGTTTCCCGCAACGTTGACCCGGATGTGAATGAGTACACTCAGTGTGGCGTGTAAACGTCCTGCAATGGGGAGACAAAGACGGCAGAACGTGGTTCTAGCCTGCAACACATGCACTCTCACGTGTGTGTGTGTGTGTGTGCCGTACCGGCCTTTAATAGGTGCTCGCTAACAATCTGCTGCACCGTAAAATCTTCACAATGTTCAGTGTGTGTGTGTATAGTTTTATCAGCCGAGTACTAACTGCTGTCTACATATTATTTCTTGAACTATTAGGCATAACCATTATGGACTCCCAATATCACCAATCTGTGTGTGCACATATATATAGAATTGCATATTTCTTGGACATTGTTAGTTGCCGAGAAATAATATCCGATGTAGAAAAAAATCCGAAACATTTACACCACATCTTTGTAAGTTCAACATTATTGTTGCTGTATACATATTCACGCAGTGAAGGCAGGCATGGAGGCCAGGGCAACGCATGTTGACAAAAGAGGCCTTGTTTTATTTTGGGCAACATGACTTGGTGGTTAATTTGGCCGTGACATGGGCACAGTGTCCTATTCTTAAGCAGGGCGTTGCTGGAGTTTTCTTTTTTTTGCGTCCATGAATCGCCTTGCAGCGGAAGCCAGCACAGCATTCCCTGGAAGAAACGGCATTAGTCTGCTGCTCTTTGGCAGTGTGTTCAACACAGCACAGAACCTATTTAAGGACCGAAAACAGGAGACATTTATCCTCAATTCTGGCTGCGTCCTGATGAGGCTGGTTGTGATTGGTGGCAAAAGCGTCACAGTACTCGAATTGTAAATGTTGTGGGTTTAACTCTCCGACACACTGGTGAGCTGAACTAGGAACTACTTGCCACGTTTGGTTTACTTGACAAAACTTACTTACGTGGTTGTGTCAGGTCGGTGGCGAGTTTTTAACGACACATTTATATTCAAGCGATCGAACCCAAAAAGCCTCTTGTGGAGAACCTACTCTTGTAACAACGCGGCCCTATGGAAGTTGTTGCATTGACCAATGCCGATTGGCGTAGTGTGCGTTGCATGCAGTAGTCAAGTGTAAACATGGCTTGCTAAACGGTCCGACTTGCTGACTTCGATCTAATTTATTGAACCAGCAAAAGCCTTCGTGAGTCTCAGGACTATTTGCAAGAGAGCCATGCATTGCAGATGTTCGACCAGTTCCTTTGTATGGAGCGTTTCACAGTATGGGGGGGGAGGTAGGGGGGTGTTGGACACTGGGGCGCTCTGGGAAAATGCACGTACACGAGTGGATACAAATACTCATGAATCCGCACAGATGAACTTGCAAATTCACTTGCCCTACTGCCATCTCCTGGCCATCTCCCAGTCCAGCAACCCTTGCCTCCGCAGTCCTGGATTACAGGTGTGCCCCTCCATGCCCCCGGTTAGCGCAGTGTACAGTCTCATTGCCTTGGTCTGGTCATTACATTGTAAGATATAACTTAATTTGATGTCCATTAATTTGGTTTTCAGGCCACTGTTTCAGGACAGATACAAAATGTATACATTTTGTCCAAAAACGTATTTTACTCACAAGCAAGGGTAAACATTTATGTCCTTTGCAATGTTGCCAATTAAATAAATTAAGGATGCGGTGAAAGTATTTAACGTCAAAGTGCATCGCGTCGAGCTCATACCTTGCAGTTGGGGAGAGTGGTGATCATTGGCGGGCTGCTCTGAGAATGAGTCGTGACTCACAGCATCCGATGACAGCAGTGGCCACTGACGAGAAACAATTCCCAACAGATAGAAACAATTCCCTTTTGGAAAACAGTGGAAGACGCTCAACCCGTTGACATATAAACGGAGCATTTATTATTTGAATAAGGAAAGCTATTTCTGCTGTTTTGTAATAGCAGCCCATTTGATTATTATGGCAAAATTAGACAAATTATTCGCAATTACTAATATCTCTTTTTGGATGCCCTGCAGGAACTAGAACTCTTATGTGCCAAAGTGCCAGATAGCAAACGTTGATTATGAGCAATACTCTACGGATTCGGCACGCTGATGCACAGATTATGAATAGCATAAATACAAGAGCCCCAATATACTGTGCTCTTATCGTCTTCATAGGCCATTAACAGACTGAACACGGTGTCATTCCAACGAGCTTATGACATGTGATCGTCAACGCATTCGTGACCGACTGGACTCGTAGCAGTGAGCGATAACAAATATATAGGCTTACTTACCACGCTTGTATTGTTGTTTTTTCGGTAAAGTCACGTAGAAGGCAAATAATATGATGTTTTATTTTTATTATTTTATTATTTCCCTTCTACGTGACTTTACCGAAAGAACCAAGAATATGAATCCCTGCAGTCACGAAAGCTTTAAATCGAAAGTTACCCCGCTTGCTTTTAATCCCGATTTCACGTCCCAGTAATTGTGTTTAACGGGACATGATTTGAAACCCAGCGTACGTTTAGTGACCTCGAAGCCAGCGGTGACGTTTTGGGACACATAACTCAGTTCCTGTGTCTCCCCACCCCACCCCCGCCTGTTCTCAGTACGACGCCATCAGAATAAACCAGCTGTATGAGCAGGCCAAGTGGGCCATCCTCCTGGAAGACATCGAGTGCACCGAGGAGGAGATGATGATGTTTGCCGCGCTGCAGGTGCGGGGCTTCTCACGGGCTTGATGACGACGCGGCGGCGTTTGTGTTCGCTAAGCGTTCGCGTTACACTTGATGACACGTTGTCGACGAACTACAGACTGAACAGTTTTTGTTTTATTTTACCAGGTAAGGCCCGCTGAGCATATACAGCTCTTTTTTTAAAGAAGTGACCTGGCCACAAAAGGTCTCAGGTCGCTTCCGAAACGAAGTGACTTGTCACGTGTAAATTTATAGCAGTCAATTCTAAATGTGGATGTAAAAACCCGAGTACCTGGAGAAAAATCCACGTAACCACAGGTAGAGAGACATGCAAACTCCCAATATACAGGCGTCAGGATCGAACCCACGATCTCCTGGATACCCAACGAGGTAGTTAACATCTCACCACCACGGCGTCCCTTTATGAGACTTGGCTGCAGCTGCAGTGTCCCTCTTAACAGGGAAAGAGAAAAAATGATACGTGTGTCGCTGTGCTTGGAAGATGGCTACAAGGCAAAGCTTGTAAAGTTAAGTTTATAATCTTATCGCTCACCCTTGAATGATAACACGCGTAATTACATTAAAAATCTACCCGAGCAGACTTCGCGAAAAAATCTTGTCGTAATCGGGGCAGGAGGGATAATGATAACGTTATCTTTGGGATGGCAAGGATGGCGTAGTGGTGACACTATTGCCTCACAGAAAGAGAGGCCTGGGTTCGATTGGATGTTCTCCCCCTGTTCTTGGTGGGTTTCATCCCCAATAACAACAACAAAACGTACAATGCCAATATCGGTTCACATTTGCAAACGAATTGAAAACTGACCCACAGTTACTCATATGCCAATCATCAGCACCTACTCGCAAGGTATAATGCCCATCGTCCACCCAGGTGTTGTGAGTCAACTTGTGCAGTGCCAGGGACAGCTGCCAATAGGGGGATCTGCACTCTTAGGGCGCGTCGCTCTGTGATAGAGCGCATTATTGATGGTGGATACGTGCACTGCCCCTTTTGTCAATCCACTGCTGGATGAGGATTTCCCCAAAACCGTGCTGGTTGTGGGAGTATATTTGCCCATTCTTGACCATGCTGCTCAGTGTGGGTTGCTGGAGGTGGGGAGCATAGACGTGAAAGCGTAGATGTACGGTACAACAATAGATTTTGCTGCGCTGCTGTCTGGTTCCCATCGGTGAAATAGTCCCGCAGTCTATGGAAACCTGCCGGTGAATGGTGGTCGCCAATCCCAGCGATATTCGGGCTCAGACCTGCTTAGTTGATGAGATCAGGTACAGTTCTGGAGATTTGCTCATGAGCGTAATGTTGATATTGGTGTTTAATAGCCATGTTTGTTTGCCCTGATATTTGTATTCAAGCAGTGCCTTTTGAGTTTATGCAGAACATGTTATCGGAGTCCACGCAAAGAATGTTGACGTGAAGGAGAGATGTGGAAAATGATTAGAATCGCCAACCGTGACGTAGAATTCGCTGAACTATGGAAAACCGTTAAGGAAATAAATTAGATAAGACAGTCTGAGATCACAACACAAGAAAGCTATGGTTATCTCAATAAAACAATAATTTGAAGCGCTGCTTCTTTTAGAGCATCTCCGGCGGGAGTTTTTTTAATCATTATAATTTCTTGCTACAGTATCACATCAACAAGCTGTCTCTGATGACGGAGGGGCACGCGAACCACAGCGAACAGGAGGTGGACGAGGTGGACGCGGCGCTGTCGGACCTGGAGATCGCCCTGGAAGGCGGCCGTAGCTCCTCGGGCCTGGTGAGACGTCTTGACCGTGCGATCTCAAACACACACACGCACTCACTCACACGGTGGCTAGATGTTATCTCCCTTGCCTGGTATGCAGGAGGTCGTGGGTTCGATACGGACCCTGACGCCTGCTGCTATATTATGAGTGTGCATGTTTTCTACCCTTGTTCGTGCAGATTTTTCTCCGGGTTCTTCGGTTTTTCCCTCCACATTTAGAATCGACGTGCTTTTAGAGGGTTTGGCTGCTTTATATTTCCACATGATAAGCCACTTCTTTGAGCGATCATTTGTGGCCAGGCCTGCTTCTGAAAAAGAGCTTCGTTGCTAAGTGGGCCTTACCTGGTCACTGGAACTGAACCAGCCTTGCATCACGCGTGGCCTGCAAGTTTGTTTGCTGAGACGAGGCTCCGAATAGCGGGCATGTTGAGATCATGATGTCATCGACGACGTATGCCCTCGTATTTATTTTGCATCTCGGCTGCGATGCTGATGCAGTTGACCTCTCAACACAGCACGCAAGGGCTCTCCGTTGGTCCCCTGAGGCTCGGCAGAATGCTATAATGGGGGGTGGGGGGCGTTATTCCACCTTCCACAACCTGTTATGGAGGGCCCCCTTTGTTGTGAGGCCTCGAACAAATTGCCACCTTTTGCCACCCCTTTCCAATCTCTGTGCAGCCCTGCTGACATCATCTGCACGTGCGTTACATTTACTGTGGGGTGGGCGGGCAGCCTACTTTGATCTGGGGCTGCCTTTGAGAAGTCTTGCGACTGCATGCAGGCTTTGTGCATTGCATTCAAGTACGGTTGCACAATGCAAACGCGGCGCTGGGTAACAGAACACGAGCGCGTGTGGTGTTCCGATTTCTGTTGGAGCCCTGTTTCACTCCTTACAAAAAGAGAGCCCCCTTTCATAATCTGAAGTACCCTCCCCGCACGTGATTTTCTGCACGATGCCTCCATGCAGAGGGGTGGAGGGGGGGGGGTACTATTACATAATTGCCTGTATCGATTCGCCCCCTCTCGTGATCCGATGGATTGTCACGATTCAGGATGGTGATTCTATCCGATGGTTAATTACGTTTTACAACGGTGTTGAATGTATGTATGCAAGTTGAACTTCCTTTTCACCGTACATAGCCAGCCTTGCGAACCGGAGGTGCAAACCCCTAGTGGTTGGTTACGTGAACTAATTTACGTACAGCTTGCACAAGATGAAACGCCAACTATTCTTGCACACACGATTCGATGCATATATCATAAGCCTAATAATACGTTTTAATTGATGAGTCAATGCAGGTTATACACTGTCCATTCTTCATTGAAAGTCCACAAAGGCAAAGTGATTTCCTGCTCAAATGAGCATTGAGCTGGTGCTCGTCGCCTGCTTACAGACTCGAGCCTGTGGTGGGAATTCCACATTCCGAGGATGGGGGTGAGGCCTCACCCATATGATAACCACTGTTCATTTTCTCACAAAGTGGTATTTATTTTATCGGCCCCCCGAGGGATGATGGGCTGAGTCAACTCCCAACCACCAGGATTTGAACTGGCAACCTTCCAATTACGAGCCTTTCGCTCTTCCGCTGGAACCACCAGGCTGGGAACATCGTTTTCTTGATTAACTTCGACATGATCTGGGTGCATTTGTTAACTCTGACGTGAATTTGTCGAGCTCGTGCAGTTTTTCTTTTGTACTTGCTCATGCGCCAAATTTTAATGAAATTCAAAATTGCTTTCTTGGCTTGTCAAACATTGCTGATGATGGACGGATTTTCCCTTTCTTGCTTGTTTGTGATCATAGAAAAATAAACAAAACTCCTCCGAGCCAATGCTCATGCGCACATTGTTCATGGAAACCATTCTGAAGCCAATGTTTTCAGAGTGCGGCCCAGTGCCAGCTGCAGTTGCCCTTTCATGAGTGTGCTTTATTGAAATTTGCCGAGGCAAAATGCCCATTGATTTATTTTGCGGGGTTTTTATTAACATGTATTTTTTTTCTTTTTTTTTCTTTTTCCAATTTCAGCGGGATATCATGAAAATCCCAGAGCTCTCCGACTATCTTAAGATGTTCCGGTAAGGCTTTCGAGCATTACGAGTTCCGTTTGCCATATTAATCTTTCTCGTGCGATTCTCTTCTTTGTTGCACATTTGAGGATGTGTTTGATGGTTTTCGTGGATTAATTTGTTTTTGGCAGGCCAAAGAAGCTGACTCTGAAGGGCTACAAGCAATACTGGTTTGTGTTCAAGGACACAGCCATCTCTTACTACAGGAATAAAGATGACCCCAGACCTGTGCAGCAGATCACCCTCAGAGGTAAAACGTGCCCCAGCTGCTGATCAACTCCACTCTGTGTTTAATTTGTCTTATTGTCCTGCAGCTTGCTACCTAAAATAGAGTGGCCACAATTTAGAGTTGTGGTCTAAAATGTGGCTGTGTTGCAATATACACGCGGTTTGGTGGTGGGGACCACGTGCCATTTGTAGCACGTGAGAGGATCGCATCATTGGTCTCAATTGCAACTTTTGCTGTCTAGAAATGCCCTTTTGGGTGTTCAAGTTTATTTTGTTTAACCGTGAGAACTCAAGAGAACAGGATAAGCCTCATTTGCAATCGTGACCCGGGTCACCAAAATGCAAGGAAAATAAATACAAATCTGAAGAGAAGCAACTATCATTCGAGGAATTGAAAAAAACTTCATAGCCTGCAGAGCAAATCGGCTCGGGCAGACTACATCCAGACTGAATATATGGCACGGAAAATTATTGGTCGACACAATATCTGGTCCTATAATTGTTGTTGCCGTCTGTCTTCAGTGTGTTTCCTTGTGGATAAACTCTGTGATTTAGATGGTTTTTAATAGTTGTAGCTTAAAAAAAAAAAAACTTTGCTTATCCAGGAAATCTTTACTATATCTTCAGAATTATTATTTTTAATGGGATGTTTTGGCCACATTCCTTTTAATTATTAGATTTTTACATGTGAGAAGAAACCGAGATACGCGGAGAAAACCCACACGTACCATGAGATAATGAAAGATCCACGTAACCGGGTCACAAGCCTATTTGCTGTACTGTCTTCTTTAAATAACTTTGCATATCAGCGGGTTCGGGAGTTTCGCAGATCTCTACGTGAACCACCAAACATTGCCTCCATGGCACGGGAGTATAAAAGGAGCATGCCTGTAATATTTATTTAAAGGTAAATGTCAGACAGATGCTCTTGCAAAAGGCCAGCTGTCCCCCCGTGTGCTTTTTCCACAGTTGTGATTTGCGTACAAACTGTTGATCAATTACCATGGATGCCTTGACCCTGTTCTTTCATGGCATGACCCGGTTGTGGCAGAATATATAAATTATGTATTCTCTGCCGGTCAAACCATATAAAAGAGTCCACAAAAACTTTAACATCCTGGACATCTATTTGCGCTAACAACGACAAAGATCCCCCATATAGTCTTAACAGACTGTTGGGGCAAGTGCTGTTGGCGAGCACCTAATGAAGGCCGGCACGGCACACGAGGGTGTGGGTGGCCAGCACCATGCCCAGCCGCATTTGTCTCCCCAGTGGCGATGTTTACGCACCGCACCAGGTACTCATTTATGGCTGAGTCGACCTAGGGGAGGCCCAGAACCAGTTTAGATAATCATTACTGGTGTTGGCCGTGAGCGGGAATCAAACTCGGGTGACCGGGTTTGTAGCTACCGCTCCGTTTGGACACACTCCCAAGCACACGCATAGCTTCCATGTACACTGTTAAACCACAAACTTACTGCGGTTGCATTTGGCTATGGTATGAGTGAGTGGAGTAGATGTTCCATGAATTTTTGTCATACCCAAAGGATCGCCACAGGCACAATATAGACATTCGAGCAATTTCAGTTGAAAAAAAGATAAGTTTAAAGTTTGATATAGCTACTTGCATATGCTTGCATTCATGGGAAGTGTCCCTGGTAGCCAGCTCACCACAGCTTATTGTTGGCATGCACTATCATACTATCTCTGTGTCTGCGTTGAGTGGGGAGTGGTGATGCTTAGGATAGCGCACTGAGCAATGAACCCAGCGACATGGAATGCATTCTGTGTGGCAAACATCGTTGGATTGTGATACCAGAACTAGTTTTGGTCATCCTCTCGATCAACTTGCCCTTAAATTATTCGTAACAGATGCAGAGTGTAAATATCAGCAGGGGGGCGACAGAAAAGCCTGGATGTGGCGCTGGTCACACCTTCTGTCTCGAATATGATATTGGCATTAATAGGTGCTCACTAACAGAACTTTCCCAAACAGTGTCCAAGGCTACATGGTGGGAGTGGGATCTTTGGGAAGGGATGGAGAGGGCGGAGACAAGATAACGTGTCCCGTGATGCTTTTCCTGCAACAGTGAACCAAAGCAGAAATTAATTAATTCATTATAAAAACATTCACACAGGATAAGTGGGGGTTCCATCATACAATAGAGAATTTCCCTTCTGTGCGTTAGAGAATTGGGAGAAGTTATTGGCAAATGCTTCGGAAGTGCAGCCAAATGTGGGCTCGTACAACATTATCTGTTTCTCAGAAGATTGTTGTGTGGAAGTTGCTTTCATATCTACAAGAACGCATAAAAACGCATGCTCAATGAGTTCATTGTCTGAGAGCCCTTGACTTGTGTGGACTCGGATTATAATCCGTCATCTTGTGCATGTAGCGTTCACTGTCCTAGATGGGCTTGTGTGACCTTGCAGACAAAAACATGGCAAGCAAAAGTGGCTGTTTTCTGTTTGCATCACTTTGCTGTGAGTTGTGCTTGAGCCCCAGGATATGTGGTGCAGGTTTGTCCTTGGCTGGCTACTGCCAGGCATCTTATTTGTGTGGAAGCAAACAGACATTTAAATTAATTATCATCATTCAGTGTCAGATTATTATGTCATCTTGTTTTTATTGTATTGTTTGTCTTTTTTATCAGTTTTCCATTATACAGTTTTATTCGCTTAGTTTAAATTTGACACGAGAATATAATTTGCAGATAAATATATATTATAGTAATTGACATCACTTTGTCAAGTCACTGCTTGATGAAGACCTCTCTACACCGCATCAATTGTGGGTGTTGTTTGACTATACTTCACCATGCTGGTCGGTGCAGGCGAGTGAAGTGAGGACCTGGGATCGCTTCTGGCATCATTCACCAGTGATGTTTAAGAGTGACTGGGAATCAACTCTGGTGACTGGCTTCAAAGTGCAGTGCTTTTGCCACTGCGCTACCAATCCACCCCATCATTTGCATCTGTAAAATTTCATCAACTGATTCTTACAACAAGGGTATATTGTGTGAGCCTCTAGAATCAACATCGATGGGTCGTTAGACCGCTCGCCAATGTTCCAGTGAATAATCGCACGGATAAATATATAAAGGAATTTTCCGTGTGGTGTCCTGTGTGAATTGCAGGATGTGAAGTCATTCCGGACGTCAACATAGCTGCACAGAAGTTTAACATCAAACTGTTGGTGCCAGTTACCGAGGGCATGACTGAAGTCTGGCTCCGCTGTGAGAGTGTAAGTAGCCACCGCGCCGTGGTCACGGAGCGCAGCGGTGCCTGCGTGTTTACCCAGTGGGCCGCTCCGAGCCTGCCGTGCTAGTGTGGCTTTCTCACGAGGACGATACCGGTCGAGTGAAAGCATTGCGCTCGTGTGCCTGATTGAAGTTGTTTTTAACTTTTACGGCCACGCTTTAGCGGTATATTGCAGAGGTGTGTCCCGTCCCCAGTGTTCTGCCACTCTGAACGGAGTTGGGGTGGGGGGATGGGGGTGGGGGATGGGGGTGGGGGGATGGGGGTGGGGTTATTGTCTCCTTCAAGGAACGTTGGTTCTTCTCCGGTGGTGTTGTGAGTTGTATTGAGCAGGGATGACTCGCCCATCACTCGTACCACAAGTACGTGTGTGGTCCTTGGACGAATCACTGCTGAATGAGAGCTTCCCAAAACAGTGCAGGTCATGCGAGATATTTGACTATACTTCTCCATGCTGATCCTATCACAAGCGAAGTGTAAATAGACTCGGTGCGGTTAACCACTTAAGTCATTCACTGCACCTTAAGCCCGATAGAAGGTAAAAATGCAGCCCTGCAATTGCTTGCCTACGCCACTGCTGGCAGAAGGGTCTCCTGCCATAAAGAGAGCTCTAGAGAGTGCCTGTTGATGGTGGATAAACGAGATAATCCATACCTTTGTCCACTTTGAGTGGGAATCCCATTTGGAACCTTTAGCTACTCGCAGTTGAGAGTCCAATGTGTAACATTATCAACAAACAGATGCCTTTAGAAAGAGACAAATGTCCCTTTTTGATTGCATCACGGACAAATTGTATGTTCCACATGTACAGTTGGAACTGGAAAAAACGCATGGCATTTTGGTGAAAGGGAAAACCAAGATTTTGTTAAAACAGGGAGCAAAAAAAAAATCTATTTAACTGCACCAGGAATACAAATTTTGAAAGTTAAGCAACAATAAATAAAACGTAGATATATCCATTGGCAGAAATAAACTACAAAGATCTGATACTCAAACCTTGGGAAAACATTAAACTGGATGCAGGCGCCACGAATACCCGCCCACATGAATTGCCAACCCATAGTTAAACAGTAATGGCCAAAAAAACAAGAGCAGTCACTGATGTTTATGGCAGTGTTGTGCCATAAAAGAACACTTGGACGTGCTGCGCAAGAGATGAAATGAGATTGGATGGGGGGGGGGGTCACCTGCTTTTCCCCTTTCAAGGTGTGCTCGCTTGCCAATTGAGAGGTTTACAGACAAAAGCTCGGTTCTGATTTATCTTATCTACCTCTGTGACTTACACTCGTCTGTAAATTGTTATTTTCAATATGCCAGGTGTTTCCCTGCTGGCTTGTGTAAAAAAAAATATATCTTGTTGACGAAAAAGTAAAGGTAGAACCACAGCCCTGCTATTGCATGCAGTGGCGAGATGTTAACTACCTCGCCTGGTGTACAGGAGGTCGTAGGTTCCATCCCGACCCTGATGCCCATATATTTGGAGTTTGCGTATCGCTCTCCCCGTGGTCGCGTGGATTTTACTCCGGGTCCTCCGGTTTTTCCCTCCACATTTAGAGTCATGCGTTCAGAGTATTTGAATGCTATATATTTCCACATGATACACCCCTCCCTTGAGCTATCATATGTGGCCAGGTCGCTTCTGAAAAAGAGCTAAATAGCTCAGTGGGCCTTATCTGGTAAAATAAAAATGGCAGAAAGGCCTCCACTAGGGGCTTCTGTAGAGACACTCTCGATTACATTTTGGCAGCCTCTTCCTATGCTGGCCAGATGTCTTGGCAGCTGAGGGAGTATACCCACACTTCACCCCGTTGTGACATGCGGATAGCTGCCATGCCAGCATTTCAAACCATCGACCTCTTGATTTTAAGTTGTGTGCCGACCATTGCACCACAGCAGATGGATTGTTTTTTACTCACATATTAAACAGGATTCGCGGTCTATACTATGTCCCTTTGCATAACTTATTGTAAATGTAAAGTGGCTTTCGTGACATTGTCTTCCAAATTATTTTGGCAGTGTTAAATTAAGCGATACATATGTAGGAGGTTTGTGAAACCTTTTCAGAACAAGCTTAAATGTTTTTTACTATCCCAGTAAAATTCGTCATATGCATAGTAGTAATAGGCATTTGACAATACAAACCTCATCATGGGATCTCCTTTGGCAGTACAACAATGCTTGTGGTCAGAATGCAAACACGCCTCTGGTCTAACACCGTTTGAGACGAGGCTCAAAAGAAAGCTGTCTCTGGTGTGGACCAATCAGTTTCAAGGACAATGTAAATATTATCAGAGTGTTTTTTGTTTGCATTCTGACCACAAGCATTGTGGTTAATGTAGACATGATTCCTTGTAAAAGGTTTCAGTTTGGTGTTTCAACACCTTAACACCTGTTTTGTTGCCAGAAAAAAGGGGAAACCCCTTTAATCAATACATACCTCACCGATTAAATGAATTGTCACAATTAGGGGTCACAATTCGGTTCAAGAATTGATTGAATTTGGTCCCGTTTTGTTTAGTTTTCTTCATTCCTATTAGCCATGTAAAACTGCAATGCTTCAAGTTTGCGGTCCGATGAAATATAAATGTTTTACAGCTTCAGATGTTACATAAACCCCGCATATACAATGCACAATTCGACGCTTGTATTTTGAGCCTAAGAATCTAATTTAATTCTCGCATGCCCTGCGTCAATGCATTGTTGCCTAATATTATAGCATGTGATAACCAACGGACGTCCTTCTTTGCGAATGGCATAATTGAGATGTCCCAGCCTTGGAAGAGCCTCTAATCTGTTTGTTGACATGGCTTCGCATTCCAGGTTACACGCAAGTGTGCGGTAGCGTGGAGATGAAACCCACACTGACATTGCTGCGACCGGCACGTGTCTTGGCAAACACGTGCCATGGGTCAGCCAGTGCCGGAGTTGTGTGTGTGCAGCTGCGTTCTTGAGATGTAAAGTTACCTCCTGGATCAGTGCTGCACCGAGGAGCACTCTAGGAACAACTTAATCCAATCGTAAAGTTTAAAGGGAGAGGCGCGTTAGATATTTTTTGACGAACGAGAGTCAGGTTATGAGCTTATAAGTACCTCTGTAAAATGTCATCGAGTTTCTTTTAGCTGGCTGACTCGAGGAGCAGCATCAGTCTGCTCAATGAGTGTTGTCTTCTTGGAGTGTCTGCACTTTATGTACACCGTTGTTTGCGTTGGTTCTCATGTTTGTGTTGGCTTTGCCTATTCATTTACAATGCTCGTGTTTATTCCTTCATTTCCATTCAGTAATCAACTTTTTACACTTTTTATGTAGTTTGCTTTCAGTTGCCTATATATAGTAGTTTTGCTCACAATGTATATTTATTTTTTATAAATAAATACTGAGTGTCTGCTCCTTTTTTCCATCTCTGCATATGGCATGTTTTTTTCTCTCCTATTTTAGACAATGACATATTTTGTCATTTCCTCTAAAGGGCCGCACTATTTATACTTGGCTCTAAAATTTAATCCGGAGTGAGGAGGTCACAAGTCCAGTATTTCTACACTCAACCAAGAGTGGGACAAGATTATATTACAAATCACCATCATCCTCTCTTGGTCAATAAAATAGGTACCACAATGTGGATGAAGTCAACATTGGTCATCCTATGGGGAGACTCACCCCCTGAATTACGAGTATGCATGCACGTGTGAACTTTTTTTGCTCAACCAAAATAAAATTGTCGTGATCGGTCCGGCGCTCAGGAGAAGCAGTACGCGGAGTGGATGGCAGCGTGCCGCCTGGCCTCCAAGGGCAAGACGATGGCGGACAGCTCCTACGCGGGCGAGGTGAACAGCATCCTCACCTTCCTGAAGATGCAGAACGTGAGCCTGGAGCCGCAAAGCATCTCTCCGCAGAACGTGCCCGACATCAACCCCGAGTCGTTCGTGTGCCCTCGCTACATGAAGAAATACAAGGCCAAGCAGGTGAGCGGAGCGGGTTTCGAGCGGGTCTTGGTTCGTGATGCGCGTCTCGAGGCTGTGTCGCTTCATCAGGAGTGTCGGCATTGCACCGTAGTTTTTATTTGAATGCTCGCACGCTAAGGTAAGTCCTAGTTTATTTATGTATTACCCAGGTGAGAACTCAAGGGACAAGGATAGGGAGTGACATTTGCAACCGAAACGTGGGACACCAAAAATGACGAGAGCACAACAAATAGAATGAGGCTCAGCGGTCGGGCGAATCGAAGTTGGAGCAAAAACAACTCCGTCGTCGCCGTATGAAATTAATATATTGCACAAAATCATAAATCGGTGTTAAATAACACATTCCGTGTACCTGAAGATGACTCGGCATAATTTAGTTTAGACTGATCCTAGTACAATTACAATTCTGTTACAGACACATTATAGTGTTATAGTGACGATATTGCACTCATGTGTAAACAGAAGAGGGTGTTTATGTCAAATTCAAATGCAGGATGAATGAAAGTGAAATTTTCTCGGACACAACATTGTTGTTGCATTGTTAGAATATCGTGCAATGTCCCATGTCAAACGCCGCAACTTTGTTGCTTCTTTTTCGCAACTGTTGAATGTGCCAGTCCATGTCTGTGTGATAAAGTAAGGCTGGGAGGCCTGACCCCCCAGCCCCTCTTCTCTTGCCTGGGCGGGCCAACCTCAGGAGCCAGGCAGGGGATCTAGGCAATGAAAGGTGCCTGCTAAATGATGATTACATCTCATTGCAGTCGGTGATTCATACTAAAAAGCACTCCAGTGAATGCCTCCATGGCATCCTGTATATCATTACGTGTTTTGAAGTGCAGGTTAATCAGCATTTGCTTGTTATCACGCACCATATAAATAACTGGAGAATATAGCGGCATACTTTCCCATGATGTAACCTTCTAGTGATATAACAGCATACGGTAACACCTGCACACACGTTGAGCTCGTATCTTGGTATCCTTTAAAATAAGACTGCGTCAATGTTGCTGCTTTGTGCTGCCCTGTTTTTTTCACTTTGATCTTTCTCTTGGGTCTTTGGGTTCCCTCCTCTCGCTCCTGAACTGCATCTTTCAGACGGTTTCTGTGCGAGACTTGGTAAGTGTGCATGCTTTTGCATGGGTTAAGTCACACGTGTGGCAGTGTGTTTCCTCCACTAAATACACTGACGGCACCTCTCGTCCCATTGTAACATCTATGACCGCGTCATCCCGAATGCGTGCCCGATCTTGTCAGATAACTTTTGGATGAGTGACCCATCGTGTGTGTACGTGTTTTGAACTTCTTCTGTACCATACGTGGCCAAACGTGCTAAATTGTCGGTGCGGACAGGTGTGGTAGGAGTTGTGGGCAGGGCAGCAAATCCATTGTTGTGCATTCCACAACCTCCCATCCGCACCTTAACCAACTTGCACTGCTGGCCAGTGTGGTGAAGTATGGTCAGATGACTCCCTCGACCCCCCACAGCATGGGGTGGCATTGACAACATGGGCTGTAAATGTGCATGTGAATTCTAACGCATTTCTTGCATCGTTTAAAACGTGAGACTAACGCGTGGCCATTGAGTGGAATAACTTTTGTGAGTACTTATAACCTGGAGGCAATGACTTGTAAAAGTTTTCTTTTAGAATGGAACCTCATTATTGTGTTGCCTTTGATGTTTTGTAATCTTTGAAATGCTGATGCTATCAATACCATCTGTAGCCCCTGGCAGTGACCGTGCAGTGTAAAGGCTTTAGGTTTTTTTACAAATACCCTTGCGGATGCGTCACAAATATGTTGGAAGTTTTTAGCAGGCAAGAGGGCTTGGCTCGCGAGAATCGGTGATCGCGTCCGTCGGCGTTCCTTTCGCCAAGTTATTGGACTTTTTAAATCCTTCCACGGGTTTTTTGTTTTGTTTTCCTGCCCAAAAAGAGTGAAACAGTCCTGCTGAAAATGTGATATCGGTCACGTCGGCGATACGCGAACTCACGATGCTCTGCTGTGCAGCAGCAAGGGAAATACACAAATAAATAAATAAATCCGCAAGCATGCCTCTGTCCATGTCGGCATTCCTTTACTGGACACATTGCGAAGAGGGAGAGGGACGTGGTCATGCCAATAACATCTGGCAACCCATCGGTATTGGTTTCACAAGCCTCACTGCTGATGAGACCCTACAGGTCAAATACAAGTCCCACAGCTTAAGTGCTCAAAAAGTCGCCGCTGAATAACACGATCCAAATAGATAATCAGCCCAACGCACGAGAACGTCTGCGTGATCCATCACGGGCATAGCCGCGAGCCGCGACCAGCCGCAAGGCGCTCACGATTCCCGCCGTTGCTTCCCGCAGCTGACGGCGCGGATCCTGGAGGCTCACCAGAACGTGTCGCACATGAGCCTCGTGGAGGCCAAGATGCGCTTCATCCAGGCGTGGCAGTCGCTACCCGAGTTTGGCATCACGCACTTCGTGGTCAGGTGGGTGTCTGTGGCGTTGCTTGGCGTTTGTTTGGGTTTGTCTGCCGCTGTCGAAGTGGAGCGCGAAGACTTTGGCTGCGGATGTTCCGGGAGGTGGGGGGGAGGGTCGGGACCGAGACCAAAGGTCCCCACCCACCCTCGCACTCCCCCCGGTCTCCCCGGTCTCCTTGTGTGTGGGCCCGCAGGTCCCCCCCCCCCCCCCCCCCCCCCCCTTAGCTGCGTTCGCACCACCAAAGATGGCAGAATAGAAAGGTGGTGTTGTTGAGAATAGCGCTGCGTTTTAGGTGGGTCAACCGCAGTGCCAGCTTTGTGTTGATTTTAAAGGATCGAATTGAGTGCAAGCGCGTGCGTGTGTCGGATATATGCAGGAAGTGAAAGTGTTTTCCCGTTGTCAAAAATGTTTGGAGAGCGGAATGCACCTTTGTGTTGGCATTTACTTTTACATTCCAATATACTCACTTACAATATGAGTGCAATTAACACTTTAACCAAATGCCATTAGAATGTGGATTATACATTGTCTAAATGCAATCGTTATAACGAGCAGCAACGATCGATCAAAGGCCGTCCCAAAACCCCACCATCTCTCACGGTCCTGCAATGTAACAATGTATCTCGCAACCGGCTGCACCCACCGATTCCATCGCTCCGTCTGCACGGTGGCCATGGGACACTTTGTTTCGTCCTCGGCCTGCTGCTGCCAATCGTCTCGACCTCCAGGGTCACCGTCGCTCCTCGTGACGCGTCCTTGCCCAAGCCCCTTTGAGGATATGAAAGGGATTTGACACCAGCACAAGACACATTATAGATTACAGTGCAATGGAAACCTGACTGAACCGCACATTTCAAGAAACTTTCTATAAACTCGACAACCCTCGGGTCTTCCCAAGCTCTGATGCCTCTGTAGAAGAAGAAAAAAAGGGAGGGAGGGGGCGGGGTGCTTAAATGCCGTCATGAATGCTCTTAAGAATCAATTCCCACTGGTGGAGAAGTAGTGAAGGGTTTCCATATTTGGTGGTAAGCTTCCTCCCTGCCTCTTAGTTTTGCACTTAGATGTTCAGCCCTGCCTTTCTTAAAAGTTGTCATGAGATCTCTACTTTGCGCGCATTCGGTCACTGCATCGCGCGCTTTCAGGTGCGCTTCTGCAGCCGTCTGGAACGCTCTTCCGATATTAGTAAGCCACTGGAGCCTTGCACTTTTAAATCCAGATGGAAAACAATTTTTTTTTAACTGTTTTTCATGTTTAGTTTGTTGTTCTTCTCCCCGCACCTCCGATTTAGCACGGTTCGCTACATATGGTGTGAAAGTAGTTCAACATTCATACATTCTCGTGTAATAAAGCTTCAGTTTAGCTTCAAATTGTCAGGTGAACGTGCGTGATAATTTATTTTAACCACCCCTTGTGCAAAATATGTAAATATATAGAATGCAGAATTTGAATATACCAGCAAGGTGGCTCTGTTCGCGGAATCCCTGCATTGCTTATCTCGTTTTTATGTCTTCATGCGTGATAGCCATTGACTCTCTGCATTGCTGCCAGTTGTCTTGGCTTTGGAAGATGCGTCTCATAGCGAGCAGGTGGTTCAATTGGCCGTGACTTGTGGGGGGCCACTGGTTTTCCTGCCGTAAGAATCTGTCGCGGGATGTATAGCACCCACACGCGAGACGGGGAGGCAATGTTAACTCCCTTCATTATTTATTTATAACGAGCCTCAGCCGTACCCACGTGGCCGCATTCAGGCAACATTACCGTCTAATCCGGACAGATCTCTCCAGAATAAACTATGAAAAGACAGGGAATTTTGTATGTTATCGGTGTTGGGGAAGCCAGGTTGATGGGAGAGCAGTAGAAACTGTCTCTCCGACGTGTTTTCAGGTTGTTGCCGCATGTTGTTCGGCACGATGCCCGGATGCGGAGAGAAACGCGCCTTCATAGTTTTATTCTGTAAAGTTTTCGTCGTATCCTCAAGGCCCTCTTGCACTGACCACTCAGCCGCCACCGCCACCACCGGCAAACGTGATGGAAGGCCTTTCCACAATCGCTGCGGCTGCTGGGCCGCTTCAAGTCTGCTCTGCGCCTTTGCATGCTGTTGGTTACCGGTGACGGACGTATGCGCCCGCCCGGCGGTTTCGATGGAGCCGCTCGTGCCGCTGATGTGGTCGCTTTGAACACTGGCGACACCAACCGCAACAGGCCGGGCGTCATCAAATTCCAAAGCCACAAGGGGGAAATATCACCAACTGCTTGGAGCAAAATTGAGCCCAAATCAATTTCTATTTTCTCACCGTCCGTGCAGTGGCAGTGACCTTTTCATGCCCTCTGTCAGAACACCCTTATTTATTATCGGGCTAATGGGCATATCATTTAAAATTCTCATAATATTGAACTGTGGAGGTCTTTAAAATATTTTCAAGAGATGGGTTGGGTGGTTCCAGAGGTCTAAGTGCTCAGGTACAGGCACCGTTGAGATCCTGGGTTCAAAGTTAAGCCTGTGATTAAACTGTGTTCTCAAGCATAGTGAATTAATGGTCTCAGCCTGGTCACCAACAACCGTGTAAAAACATCGCCTTAAAAAAAACTGTTTAAACACTTACATTTGACTAAATTCCACCTTCTGAGATTTAAAACGGTCAGTTTGATGGCCATGTGTTGAACATCACTAAATAGCAGAGTGGGAGGAAAAGAAAGGGCTGCCCCCCCCCCCCCCCCCGCGACTGTGTCGATTATGAGGTCACTTGAAGAAATCTCACCAGGCGGTAGCTCTATGATGTCCGCTTCAGTGGGCCGTTGTCTCACAGAGGATGATCGCACTGCTCTGCGAGAGATCCCAATGGATTCTTGTTCTCAAGTAGTCGAGAAGCATTGCTGCTGTTGTCTTTATTCAACTCCACATTGCAAATGTATATTTATTAATAGTATTTGTCTTTAAAACATTCCATTGTAGTCACCCACATTAAAAAAAAAGCATAGATATGCATTATCATATGCATCCTAAAGCTCAGACTGGGCATATTTAGATGGCTTGATTGGCTTTGATTTAGCAATGATTGCCTTGCTTATGAAATGGTGGTAACATACTCTGCTAAATGTTCCTTGTTGGTTCCTGAGGGATGAGTTACGATGATGCCCTTCCTTCCTCTGTTCGTAGAGGCATTTCCTGTCGCGTCTCCTCCCACATTTGTACTCGGGGAAAATAAAACGATGAATAATGCAGTCACCTCCAGCATCGTGCGTGGGCTCGAATAGAATTCCATATTGATGTTTAAAGGTGGATAAAAACCACAAGCCCAAAACCTCAAACCAAAACACTTAATCGTACGCGTAATCCATTTCGGTAAACGTTGTCTAAAAATATATTTTTGAAACTTGAGTACAGTATTCACTTGTTATCCACGAACTTGCTATCCGTTATTTTTGGCTATCCGCGAATCGCATCTGCAACTCTACAAGACTGCATCGAGAGAGAGAGAGAGAAAAATGTATTAAATAAAGTGATGAGGGAGAACTATTTATTAATTTATTTAAGGTAATTAATGAAATGCTATTCACATCTCAGGAACATATCCCTTGCGAATAACGACGGAAAACTGAATTGTCCAGCAATATAATGCTTACACAACGTTATTTTTTAAAATTAATATTATGCTCATTGTTGATGCTGGGCCCTGCTTTCTGCGACCTGGGCTATATCACGGTGGTGAATGCTGCCTTGCTTTCTCCTCTCTCATCTCACCATCACAACAACCCCTCTCCTCCTACCCCCAACGCAGCTCTTCATTTTCGAAAAGTGACTTGAGACACAGTCGCTTTAACCGTTGTTGATCTGGGTGTTTTTTAAATCAAGAACGAATTTCAAGTTGGGGAGGAAAAAAAATGTGCTTCATCATTTGTGTACAGTCCTTTGCGGCAGGCAGAAGAATGTACGATTCGAGCTCAGCATGTCTCTCCATGTGGTTTCCATAACATTGCCGGCTACATCTGGCAGAAATAAATTCTTATCCTCCCCGCTGCCACATTTTCCAGCAGCGACAAAATGCCCCGTAATTTTCCCAAGACGCACTTTGCTAAATACCAACTTCCTGTTTACCCTGCAAGAGGACACAATGCTGGATGAAGCCTCAATTGTGAATTGCTCCTCTGTGTCGCAGTGACAGGTTTTACCATCGGTGTACTGTACAAAATTCCGCAGCGTGATCGTGCTAAGCAGCTTCACTGCAATGCAAGAGGGACTCTCCTTGCGATTCAACGAGTTTTTTCCAATTCAATTTGTTAATCGATTTTTTTTTTACGCATCGTGACGAATGGTTACAGCCTCTCTTAGCTCTGAAGGGTCCCGTGAACCCACTGGATACCAACGAGCTGAATGTGGCCCACCCATCTGATGATCCCATCTCGCGTTGAGAGCGTGCATCGCGTGTATTCTCCATCGGGTCGTTTTTTTCTCTTGCGTGCGTGCGCTCGCGCAGGAATTTGGCGAGGCCCGTTCTGGTTGAGGTGACCAGAATGACCGTAAAGTTGATTAATGCTGCATTGGTTGTGGATGGAGTGTGGCAGCTGGGCCTTAAGTTAGAACACGTGCCAACTCCTCCCCCGTGTGCTCGCACACTCGCCAACACTGCAGGCCGTGTAAGCGTTTAAAGGTACAGGAACGCCTTCGAGCCAAGAGCGGCTTCGACACAGGCTTCTCTTAAACGGAATACGGATTTTCCCCAGCAAGTCATGGTTGTTGGGTTCTTTGATGGCTGTGTCTTGCGATCATTGTAACAAGCGGAATTGACGTGGTTTGTACGCGTGCTTTTTTTGGTCCTTGAGGCTTGGGTCCAATGATTACCCATGTACGCCATTGGTAATTGCTTGCAGTGGAGCAATTCACTGCAGCTCGCAATTCAACTTATTGTCGCATATCGGGGTCTTGATTTTATTAAAAATTTGAATATCTTTTTGTATAGTGCATGAATCAGCCTCCTGTGGCTGCATGGGCCACATGAAACCATTGCATACAACATAGGAATACAAATTAAAACATACTTTGATTCTTACACGTGCAATTTGAGAGCTTAAGAATTGTGGGTTAAGAAATCTTGTTAATCAGTGTGTCATTACGACCCTCGGTAAGGAGTCGTTGGTGCTTCAGTGAAGTTAGACAGTAAATAGTATTTTGATGCAAACTAACAGGATATTTTACTACCACTGAGAGGAAATTAAACTTTCATCCGAGTGGATTGGTATGGTGGAAAATATTGATTGGAATGAGGACCTGGCAGGGCCTCCACCATAAATTCTGTCATGCTTGTCTCCAATACTTCCAAAAGCGCTGTGCTGGCCTCTACGTGCTTGCTATAATCGAGCTTGACCCAACGATAGTCTGGCGAGTAAAATGGAGGATTTTTGTCTTTCTCATTCACAGGGTTGGCATTCACAACTCCTCTGATCAGTTTAACTCGTAGATTTATGGAACTTCTCCGATATTTATAACCTCTTTTTATTATTCAGACACTGTTGTTTTCCAACGGTTTGGATACAGGCCACCAATGTCGTAACATGACTGAGTAACGAAGTGGAAAATATACCCTTACAGTATAGTGTGGTTTGAAATAAAAACAATACACTCCTTGTTAAGCACTGGTAGCTCATATTTGATCTAATTATGGGTCGATATTTCTGTTTTCAAGGGCATTCACTGCCCTTTGCAGTAGGCTGGTCGTGCTTGGTGTAGGTTTTCGTTTTTGTTCCATATATTGCTGAATGTTTCAGCAATATTGGTTTCACTCGCTAGTGTTGTACAAAAAAATGTATCTCTAAAACAAGCTGTTGTGTCTAAACATTGTCTTGTTTCTTTTGTATTTAAAGTTCGAATTCAATTTAAATCCCAATACGAAGGAATGTGCCTGGTAACAAATTTAATTGTGATTTAAAAGTAGAGGACAAGAACAAGAGGTTAAAAAGTTTACTGGCGCGTGACCCCCGGAGTATGTTGCACTTTGAACTTCTTTCGTATGTAGCCGACCGTGATAATCTGAGGTGCGGGATGACATGTGGATCAGAAACATTGACACTGACAAAGAAAATGGAAGAAAGCTGAATAGTCCACAAAGAAGCTGAATGTGTGCTGGGAATTCCACGCAGAGACATGAATATGAACACATGGAGCCAGGGAATAAACTGGGGTTTCCAAATCTCCAGGAATGGGCATCGCTGGTTGGGGTGGCAGGAATTGATTTGAACCGAGCTTCGGTACCGGTATTGTACTAAATTGTATCAAAGTGTAACTGCACAGTATTGACAGACTCAGGCTGACTGAAAACATACGTCCAGGTTTGATATACAGTGGAAAAGGTGGCAACCGTAGACGAAATACAACATCGTTTAGATTTTTTTTTTTGATTATTTAAAAGAAAGTGTTTGCATTTTAGTTGTATTTCCACATAGCTTAGCATTTACGGTAAACATTTTTATCAGAGATTAACATTGCTCCGCAAATCAATGTGATTTGAGTGCTATTCAGTGTAAGATTCATGAAGGAATTGGGTTTGTTTAATATCCAATAGCCAATTTGCATTTTTAGGTAAGCTATTGTGTTAATGTATCTGTTGGATGAACGGTATGCAGTATGAATGAGGCAATGCTCTGTTCTTTTGGGTTTTTCACGCCCACCGGAGATCACAGTCACTCCACATGTAGATAGTTATCGTTGGAAGCCACATTAGTGTTTCAACTTGTTCGTGACCTGGGTTTTCGTGCGGTCCTGTTCTGTGTTGCCACCCAGGTTCCGCGGCGCCAAGAAGGAAGAGATGATGGGCATCGCCTACAACCGGCTCATCCGCATGGACCTGTCCACGGGTGATGCCATCAAGACCTACCGCTTCAGCAACATGAAGCAGTGGAATGTGAACTGGGAGGTCCGGCAGGTAAGGCGGCACCCCCTTAGCGCGCACGCCTGCCGAGGATCGGTCTCCATGGCTTTGCCATTCGAACTACGACAAACGCAATGCCACGCTTGATTCCTGCCGAGCCTTTTGCTGGGGCACGCTGGGCGAGCTTGGTCTCGCCTTGTGGATGTTGCAGGGCCCCTTGACCTCTGCTAGAGTTGGTCATTGTTTGCCCAATCTCTGGTGAGGGATCACCTGCCTGCATTAAAGTTCTAAGGACACATGCTTAAGCACACTTGCTTGCAAAGAAATAAGTATCTCATGACTTGCAAAAAAACCGTACAATAGTTAATAGTTCATCTGGGCAATTAACTCTCTGGATTAATCATTAGCCAGTTAATCCAATTAGTATAGGAATGTATGGCGATTTTAAACAATGGCCACATAAGCAGGGTGTTGGCAACTGGTCATATCTACGGCGATGTAACTTATCAATGCAGTAGTTAAAACAATGGGTTGGTTTCTTCAATAACCCCCATTGCACATCCGCCCAGCAGTGGATCCACTCAAGACTCTTCCACCAGCAGTGGTGCCAGCAATGCATTGCAGGGCCGCACCTCTAGCCATTAACCTGCACAGTAATGCACACTATCCATTATGTGTGTGCGTGTCATGTGAGAGAGACATAGGTTTCTGTATTTAGCCTTTTTCTGCCAATGTGTACTTTCGCTGGCGCTTGTAAGGCAATACAATCTGTTACTGTCAGGCAAATAAAGCCATCGGAAGGGCATAACATTTCACAGGAGGGACTTGCAGGGCAGGCAAAATCAATATCAAGGGGACCACCAGGCACGGGCTGATCAAACAAAACCGTGTTGCCTTCCATGTCTCGTTTCTTTTGCTTCAAGGCAAGGAATCCAATACCGTCCGTAAGACTTGTTCTTGTGACATTTTGTACATGGGAGAAATATATATATAAAGGCGTTTACGTACCAGTGGTTATGCCCAAAGCAATTAACTGTTTGTAAGATGTTACAACAAAGCAAGACCACATGTCTAATTTTACCAAGGGACCTCTTTAGGATACTTATCGCTATGCCTGGAAGCTTTTATGTTCTGTCCACATGTTTCCAATAAAATGACACAATCGTGCCATGGAGCAATTGGTACGGAACTTACCGTACTTGACACACATACTACCCATCTTACTACTGTCCATGTCCAAATGTGAATTATTTTTGGGCAAGATTTAGCAGTGGCCGTGACCCAGCGGGTTGCTCATTCGCCGCTTGTTTGCAGAGGTTCGCGGTTCGGTTTGAGTGGCCGCCCTGATGACTACCGGCGTTATGTTGTCTATTTGAATGGTTCCTGAGTGACATTGTAAACATCGCCCCCTTCGAGTAAAAACTTGCCAGGAATCTCCCAAAAGAGGAGCCGTGAGACTCTGTGAGGATTTCCTGGGTAGACAAGCATAACTAAATAATAATAATTATACAGTGAAATATTGACAATACTTAGAACGCATTTTTATTTCACAACACCTCACTGGGTACCAGCACTATTAGCAAGCTTAACTTGGAACGTGGGTGAGTGGGTTTAGGCATGTGCACCTAATGCGTGCATCCCTCTGTATGTCTGTACATGTGTGTGTTAATGTGCACGTATCTGTACACAGTCGAATCCCCTCACTAAATGCAGGACACCTTAGTCCAGCGTTCCTCAACTCCAATGCTCGCGACCGCTAACGGCACGGCTTTCCGTGATTGCGCCCCTCCGGATAGCACGGTTGGCTACGTACGATGCGGAAGAGGCTCGACGTGCATGCATACAGCCACCGGGCGCACGCTGTGTGCAGGGGCGTAACCTCGATATGCACGGACAAGGTTGGTGATCGCCTAAAGGTGCACCGTGGGGGGGGGGGGGGGGGGGGGGGTGCCAGGTGTGGGGTTGAGAAACACGGAATTAATTACCTATTTGTGTCTGTATTTGCTGCTAATGCTGCTGCTAGTGCATCTGCCGATTTTAGTCTCGCTAGCCGGTCTGCAGTTCCGCCGCTACTGGTTGCCGCTGCCGCCGCCATCGCGGTTTTGGCTCTCGCACCAACGGCGACATCTCTGCACCCCCCTCCGGTGCTCCCCTAGGTGGCCGTGGAGTTCGACGACGAGATGCAGATCGCGTTCCACTGCTCGGACGCCGACTGCAAGGTCGTTCACGAGTTCATCGGAGGCTACATCTTCCTGTCGACGCGCGCCAAGGATCAGAACGAGGCGCTGGACGAGGAGCTCTTCCACAAGCTGACTGGCGGCTGGGCCTGAGGACGGACTGAGGTCCCGGGGGGGGGGGGCGGGGGGGGCGAGGGGGGGGGCGAGGGGGGCGAGGGGGGGGGGCGGGGGGTGATGGGGTGGCCACGAGGCGTCCACCAACCGCGGCTTTGGCGGCGGCGTCGGGGCGCGGTGGTGGAGTCGCGGAGAGGCAAAAATCACTACCTTCACAAGAACGTCTGTACTACCGGGACAACCTACGCGTGGTAGTGCTGTGTAGATGTCCGATGCGCATTCTTTTGGGTTGTGCCGTGATGCGCCGCTTGGCGCCTTGTCTGACGTTTCGCCCCCAACGTGCTGTGGGGGATTGGGGGAGGGGCATTTTCAGGAACTGAAATTCAGTGCCGGGAGCTGAAATGTCGGGCGCCGTGCCGAAACGCTGTGCGGCACAACCCAAAACAACACATCGGAGAACATTTTCTGTTTTTAATTAAGGCAACATTTCCATAGAAGCATTTATTATTTTTATTCAGGTAATGTATGAGCAGTATTTTGTTGCTTCACTTTCACATTTTCTGCAACAACAGCAAAAGACGAATGAAATTTGGTCAAGGGGAACGTGCATTTTTCTTTTGCCCTGAGAGGTTATATCTAACGACGTTAATGAATTTGCTTTTCAAATAGAACAGATTTCCGGTTCGTTTGCCGCATGGCTGTAGCATTACCTTTGGACTTGTGGTTTAAGCGCAATTAGCGCTGTACAGATGCCATAGAATGTTGCGGAAGCCTGAGGCCGTTTTGACATGGTGAAGCCCAGTAACGTTACACAACTGTCATTGGGATTTCTCGATGGACGATCATCTGTCGTAGATGCCCAGCAACTTTCTGCACCCAGCAGCTGTTAGCGGCGCATTGGCAACAGACCGCGCAGTGACCACCATCACCGGTGATCTTTGACGGTTGTGTCCTTTGCGTCTCCCTCCGAGCTGCGTTTGGCCGGCTTATACACACACACACCTCGTGAGCGAATCAGCCTGGCGTCGTTGTTTTTGCGGGAGGCGCCCGTCCTTTGTGGATTTCTTTAACCAACAAGGTGGAGTGTGTGCGAGCAACAGTGAGTGCGCGTGCGTCATCAGCCGGTCTCGCCCGAGCGCTCGGCACAGCCCCCTCGCCTCCTTAGAGTTTGATTTCACATCCACGCCGCCGAAGCTCATCTCCTGTGCCTCGGCTCTGCACACTACTAATTGCCTCGGATGGTCAAATCTCTACAATACTGCTGTGCACTTGCGGATGAGTCTCGTGTCCTTGCCCCTGTCTGTGTGTGTGCACGTGTGGTCTTTATAAGCAGGAGGCCCGCCATAGAATGTTGATCGACAATCACGTTACGCAGCCTCTGGTGCTAATGTTATGGTATGCAATGTACAGTATATAGTGAGTATAAATGAACTGATAAGTGGCGTGTAGTTTTCGCTTAGTGTTATGCAACGATGTGAAGCGGCGTCAATCGGTGAACGCAACAAGGCCCTCCACGCAGCATTTTGTGAAATCTGTCGTTGTCGTCGGTGAGAGACGCATTGTGCAGAACTGCAGGATTTATTTTGTTTCTTGGTTATTTTCATGGTTTACACGATTTATGTTTTAATCGATACAAAACAATTACGAACTAAAAGCTCCTGGTACATAACATCACTTTGCAGCAGTCGTCGTGCTTCTGTAGCAAGGGGTTTGCTCTTGGTCGAGGTTGGGGCTCGGGTGTGGGTCCCAGCGTGTGTCAGAGTCCATGAATCGTGAACCACTGGTCCAGAAGAAATAGCATTTACATGTATCCACACGAGTCAATGTGCCCTTTCGTGTTAATGGAATACTTTGTTATTTTGCCACATGCCTGTTGGGGTGGGTGGATTTAAAGATGTCTAATGACTAAAACGGTGGCTATGAATTTAACCCCGACTCAGTCCTGGTGAGTATCGGAAATGTTTATTTTTTTAATGTTTGTTGCGTGCAGGTCAAAACATACCTTATACTTATTATGGCTGCATATTTCGGAATGTTAACATCAGTAATTCTGTATATCGAAATATTTTTAACTATTGATATAATTTTTCCTTGATTGTTTTTTTGCTGTTAAATTCCGTTTAAAGATTTTTCCTTACATAGATTATTTTTTAATCACGTGTTACATTTTGTGAACAATGGATTGTGGAATGGGCTGAAAGGAGTGGACAAAAACTGTCAACCTAATTTAACGCAATTACCAACTTTACATAAGTGCATGAAACTTTGTATGCGAGTTAAAAGTTAAATATTATTTTTAATTAGCGTGAAAAAAAACCCATAGAAATTCAGAGGCTGGAGTTTTTCTGTTAATACAAGCAGACAAAAATATCAATTTACAAGGCTTTAAAAAAAAACATGATAATTATATAGCAAGTACTGTATTTTTTGTTCGATGAACTATAGCAATGGACAACTGTTACATTGAATACACGTGTGGCATTTCTAACCATCTGAGTAGCTGCGCCACGATATTAAACCTCCGAGCTGCTAAGTCTGCTTGAAGTTATTGTTCAGTGTTTTCAGTGGCGCCATACCAACAGTTTTGGACAATGAGTCGTGGGCTTCCTCGCTCGTGGTGGGGGTGGTGGCGTTTGGGGTGCCCTTGGATGTGGACGATTTCTCTGGGTGCAATTGTCCAGCTCTGTAAAATGTTGATTTTACGTTCTGCGTTCAAGTTCACACCTTCTCCACAGAAGAGCAAGCAATGTGTATTTATGGAGTTAACGCCGATATAAGGGACTTTGAAAGATTGCCTGAGGAAATAAAATCAAACATGATTATCACATTGATTTTGGTGCTTGGCAGGTAATGCAGCACAGTTCGAAAGATTTGCTGAAATAAATTTGATTTCGAAGTTACAGAAGTATCAGATTCATCAGATACGATTAGTTTATGTTCGATTTGTAATACATTGCATGCAATGGGGGTCCATGTGACTTCTGCTATACCACTGCAGGCTGCTACATTCACCAAGTTATGAGAAAAAACAATCCGATCGTGACTCAAATGGCAATCCCGAATGGTAACCAATTGATCTCGTCGTGATGAGAGCGAAAGTTACGTTTTTAAAGCTTTAATTCGGCAGGTTTGTTTTCTCTTCACGGCTATAGCTTCTGAAGTTATTTGCAAAATGGAAGTCGTTTTCTCTTCTTCACATTTGTTCTTAAGGCAACGCTTGCCACTGCTTTTACCTTGTGACTTCACTTGGCCGTGAACTCGATGAATAATAAGTTGCCTGGTGGGGGCGGCAGTGGAGAGTCATTTTCAGTGGAAACTCGTTATGTGACTCTTGGGAATAATAGTGGGGGAGGGCCACAAGTGGGTTTGTGAAAATAGAAAAACGAAGGGAATGAGTCAGATGATCCCGGTGGCCTCCTCCTTCATTGTACCTTTGTTGTGCTTCTCCGCTTTCGTTCCCCGTCGGGCATGCACCGTCCCCACCCGCCGGGTTTTTAGGCTTTTGCGGTGTCTCGCCCGTCTCGGCGGCGATGTATTTAAAGCCCATCCCATTGTTGATCTACCGGGACGAAAAAGCATTTTTAATTTCTCACCCGCATCAAAATTGTGTGCCCCGTCCTCGGTAGAGACTTCGAACTGGCAGTGGATTCTGTCCCACAAACAAAATTGTGCTTTGAGAGAGAGAGTTTGAGTTTAGTCCAAAATTCCACGGAAGAGTTTTTTTTTTTAATATGCGATTGTTCTCCCCAATGCCCACACAGTCGGATTATATATTAGTCCAAATTTACAACAAGCAGTTAGTCACCAGGCGTCTTTCGATGTTTGTCTTGGCCTGCTTTTGAGGTCCCTTATATTGTTGTTAATTCTGATCTCAAGGCGCCTCTCGCAAGGCTCTCGTAGTGCAGCAGCAGCATGGACACGTGTGTGGTGGTCTTTGTATATTTTTATTGTATGATATAATTACATTAACGGTTTTACTGTACTGCACTGCCAATAAAACACTACTTTACACTACGTGGACATTTTCTTTTTGGTTTTTGAGTGCGTGCGATCTTGATTGCAAATGGATTTTTTTACAGCCCCAAATTACTTATTTGTAATGCTGGATGAAAGATGAGAGGAGCTGTATGTGTACGTTGTAAGCAATCAACTGATAAATGTTCTTAACAGCTTATGCGCACCGTTGTGTGAAATTAGAATAATGTAAGCTATACAAAATAATCATTAATGACTTTCCATACACATTGCATTCGATAATTGAAAAGATGTACAACCGGTGTTGTAAATTGCAGCGGTGGTGACGCTGCAGATGGCTTGCACGGAGACGTGAAACTGAACGTCCGTTCAGTTTTGGTCCCTTGAAGTTCATCGTAAACGTGTTTTATAACATGTTGGTTCATGAAGCCTATCTTCGCCAGGCAAACATTTCCAATGAATATAATAATTAACCTGATATTATTTTTTTTACAATTGTTATATACGATTAGACACGAACAACTACTCTAAAAATAATTTTAACACGGACTTCATTTAACTTATATTTAAAGACGAATCCATCGGACACGGCTCAATTTAACGATTGCGTTTTTTTTTATTAGAAAGAACAAAGATGTATTGACTTAATACTCTGAGTGGAAGCTCCTATCTTTTACCGGTCTCGAATTATTCAGATTTGAACAACATAAAATGCCTTATAGTTCAAAGCCACTTTAATTCGAAATACCTATTTTCTGTTTAACACTCTATCAAACGACAAAACCCGCAATCTTATAATTTTGAACGGTTTATGAATGACGCGCACAAACACGTTTATGGGGCACTTAAAATCGAGAATTGGTAGGCTTACAATATAAAATCTCGGATTTCCAATTTTGTTTTTCTATTGTTTGTGTCCTAAAAGCTACCGATGCACCAAATGTCAGCTTTCCGCCTTGCCGAGAAGCCACCCTCGAGGTTTTATTTTGAGACGTACAGATGAAGGTCTTTATTTATTTTATAGATCTCGTGCGTGAGTCGCAAGGAATGCCTTGCCCCCCCCCCCCCATCGCGATGTTCG